ACTTTGGTTCGCAGCCCGCGCTCAATCCACTGAGCTACGCCAGCCAGGGCGTCATCTTCAATTTCTTGAATCCATGCTCAAAGCCACTACCCTAATTCAAGTTCTTTTCCCTTACTCCTATAAGTCTTTAGTTTTTTCTCCTACATGTCCTTTTTTGGTTGTATGTTTTTATTTCTTGGGGAAAATACTTATCAGAAGAATTCTTGGGTCACATGGCAGATGAATATTTAATTCCTTACGAAGTGATCAGATTTATTTCCAAAATCATGAAACTATAAGGCTTCTAGAAAATATAGAAGACTATCCTCTTGATGTGGGAGTATGCAAAAGATTTCTTAGCTGAGACTCAGAAAGCAATAACCACTTAAAAGAAAAAGATAAATGGGATTACTTCAAAATTTACAACTTTCACCAAAGATAACTCTAAGAAAATGAATGGGCAGGTGCTGACACCTACCTGACAAAGAGCTGATATCCAGGGTATCATTAGTTTCCAGGCTTGGGAGCAGTATCTGTGACCTGCGCTCACCCTCTGGTCTCTGGCTCCATCTTCAAGTTATTCCCCCTTTTCATGAAGGGTAGCATGTGTTTGCAGCACAGTAGTTTTATCATCCTGTTGCCTGCCAACCATTTGTGCGAGTTCTAATTTCTTCACATCTTTGCCAACTGGGCGTTGTCAGTCTTTATTTTTAGCTATTCTGGTGGCTAGAGAGCAGTATGTCACTATGGTTTTAATTTTAGTTGTTGATTAAAATGACATTGAGCACTTTTTCCTGCACTTGCTGACATTTGTTTATATTCCTTTGTGAAATGCCTGTTTAGCTCTTTTGCCCAATTTTATTATTGAGTTGTAGGAATTCTTTATATATCCTTTGTATGTCCTGGATATTGTCTGTTGTGGTTGCCTAATTACTTTCATAGCATTTTTTAGTAAGAAAAGTTTTATGTTTTGATGAAGTCATTCATATTTGCAGTTTTTAACTATGAAGTTACTGTTTTCTGAGTACTGTTTAAGAAGTCTTGGCTACTATCAGGTTATGAACACATACTTCTTTATTTTCTTCTCAATATTTTCTAGGTTTAGCTTTTATCTTTAGACCTATGATCCATCTCCAGTTTTTGTAAATAGTGTGAAAATATTTTGTGAAAAGTATTAAATTTTTTTCCCACATAGATTGTTGTTCTAGCATTATTTGTTGAAAATTCCACTGTGCCCTGGCCAGGCAGCTCAGTTGGTAGGACTGTCATCCAAAACGGTTGTGAGTTCAGTTCTGGTCAGGGCACACACCTAGGTTGCGGGTTTGGTCCCTGGTTGAGGTGCATGTGGGAGGCAGCCAGTTGATGTTTCTCTCCCTTTCTCTCTCTCTCTCTCTCTCTAAAATCAATAAACATATCCTTGGGTGAGGTTAAAAAAAAAGCCATTGTATTACATTGGTACCGTTATTAACATTCAGATGACTGTATAAATAGCAGTTGATTTCTGGACTCTCTTTTGTTAAAATTTTTTTTTTTTTATTTTGGTGGGGAGGAGAGAGAAACATTCATTTTGTTGTTTTGCTGATTATGCATTCATTAGTTGTTTCTTGTATGTGCTGTGACTGGGGATCCAACCGCAACCTTGGAATAGCAGATGATGGCCGGCCAGAGCTGTGGACTCCCTTTTCTGTTCCACTGATCAGTGCTTATCAGGACCATACTGTTGTATTGGATTGGCCAAAAAGTTCGTTTAGCTTTTTCCACATGATGACTCTAGTAGTGCTTAGTTGTCTTTAACTTCATTCCAGACAATTTTGTTAGATTGTATTGTGACAGCTGTCATATCAGCATTTAAAAAAATTATCAAATTGGTGAATTTTTGTGCAGCCATTTTAATATTGAAGATGGAAGAATATATGTAACATTTTTGGTGTATCATGCTTTATTACTTCAAGAAAGGTAAAAACAGCTGAAATGCAAAAAAAGATTTGTGCAGTGTATGGAGAAGGTGCTGTGTTTGATTTTTAATGTGCCATTTTTCTTTGAATGTGTCAAAGTGTTTTGTGAAGATTCTTGATATTACAGACGTTTTGGCTAAGGAATTCTTTGCTGTGGGGCTGTCTTATGCATTGGAAGGTGTTTAGCAGCACCCTGGCCTCTACCCACTAGAAGCCAATAGTGGGAGATGCCAACATACTCAAAATATCCAAATCAATGAAGTTATTGGTGAAAATGAAAACTGCTGTATCTTTTGTTTTATGGAGAAAACTAAAAAGACTTTTTGGCCTACCCAATAATTACTGTGGTGTTATCGTAAGTCTTGAAATCACTTAGTGTAGGTTAACAACTTTGTTGTTGTTGTTGAAGTTTGATTTGGATAATTTAGATCCCTTGCATTTTTCATATAAGTATCAGAATCGTCTTATCAGTTCCTCCAAAAAATACCAATAGGCTTATGATTGGGATAGCATGGAATCTTTAGATTAATTTGGGAAATTAACATCTCAACAGTATTGAGTCTTCAAATATATGAACACGGTACGTCTCCCTTTTTATTTAGGTCTTATTTCTGGTGGTACTGTTTTGTTTCCAGTGCAGCAGTCTTACATATCTTTCGCCAAATTTACTCCTAAGTGTTCTTTTAAAACTCTGTTGTCAATAGAGCCATCATTTGTATTGTTACTCTGTACATAATGCGCCATTTTTCTCCTACTGCTTTCTAGATATTCTCTTTATTTTTGGTTTTTAGCTGTTCGCCTATGATGTGTTTAGGTGTGATTTTCTTTGCATTTATCCTGCTTTGAGGTTTGCTGAACTTTATGTATACATTTATGCCTGTCTCCCAACTTGGGAAATTCCAAGCCATTATTTTTTTTAAAATATTTTTTCCCATTCTCTTTAATCTCTTCTTTTGGGACCTCAGTTATGTGTGTATTAACCATTCTGATTTTATCCTACAGAACCCTGAAGCTGTTTCATTGTTTTCAGTCTTCAAGTTCACTGACTCTTTTTATCTCTAACATTTTTGCTGTCAACAGGATGGAAAATTGGGATGATTTATGAGATTCCCGGTTCAAGAGCAGTCCCTGTTGCTTTGCACGTGTAGTGGGTCAGAAGGCTTTTGAGGGGGAGATGGTGGCATCTCCTTTTACTTTTGAATTTTCTCTTGTATTACACAGGATTCTGTATTTCTCCTTCTTTTCCATTCACAGAACAGTTTCAAAGGGATTCACACCTTTCTTTAAACCCATTCGCTACAGGAACATTGACTTTCCAAGACTGCGTCATTGAGTTCTGGACTATTCCAGGCTACCAGGGCACTTTGTCAGTATCTTCATATTTCGGGTGGGATTTCTTTCTCCAGCAGTGGTTTTGATTCCACTTAGGCTCTCCATCATCCCCTTCTCTCTTCTAAGCAGTTCCCTTCCCACCTGGGGCCCACCTTGCTCTCTGTAATGTAAAGACTTGGGATGAGAGTTTGAGAAATATCTCCACCAGAAATTGATGGTTACTTTTTCTACTTCCAGGCTAGTTGAAGCTTGTAGTGTTTACAGTCTTCTAATTATGTTAGAAGATACAGGATATTTGTGATTTTAGTAGTTTTCTTGTTGGTCTGTATAGTTTTTGGAGGATATATTGGGATATTTGGATTTATGTAGCTGCTACAACCTTGACATTCAGGAAGACTTTCCTAACATTTTATTTTGAAAAATTTGAAGATGTCAGGAAAGTTACACAGTGAATAATTGCATATTTTCACCTAGATTCATAAGTTTGTTATTTTGCTTTATCTTTTTCTCTTCTTCTCTTAGCCTGTGTGTGCACACACACACATTTTTTTTAGTTGAATGATATGAAAGTTGCAGAAAACACACCAACTTATTCTAATATTTTATGTATCTCCTACATAATTATGGTATAATTATCACAACTCAGTAAGTTTAACAGTGATAAAAGATCAGCATGTAATATGTACTCTATCATCGACTGCCCCATTGTCCCAATAGTGTCCTTTATAGTTTTTTTCTGGTGTAAAATCAAGGGTCACACAGTGTGTTTTAGTTGTCATGTTTCTTTAGTCTCCTTTAAGCCAGAAGACTTTACTAGACTTTCTGTTTTACTTTGTTTTGTTTTTGAGACGTGGGCATTTTTGAAGAGTCCAGGCCTTGTAGATTTGATTTTGGCTGATTATTTTCTCATGACCAGAGTCATGATTAGCTCAGAATACTACCTAGTGATGTTGTCACCTTCTCAGTGCATCCTTCAGAAAGCACATGGTTTGACTATTATTGGTGACACTATGTTTAATTACTTGATCAAGGTGGTCATCTGCTAGGTTTCTCTTGTAAAATATCTTTTGCCACTCACCCCTCCACTTCCCACATTTCTTCTTCAAGTACAAGTAGTTTATTTGGGAGATAAGCCCAGGACATAGTGGTAGAGGGGAGGAGAAGCAAGATGGGAAAGAAAAGTTATTCAACAAAGTTATGTTGTCAAGCCAGTTACCACTGGTGGGCAACCAAACTTAATTTCATTGGGGAATTCTGGAGCCAGTGTAGAACTCATGTTCCATGTTATCTCACAGAAACAGTAAGAAATATGGGCTCTTTACACACCAACTCCTGTCAGTCATTGTTTGAGGCTACTCCCATGGACATCAATTCTCTGCAGCTTCCAGTGTACCATTAAGTGGGCCCTGAATGTCAAAGGATGCCATTAGGTAAAGAGATGTAGATGCTGGCACTTGGAAGTTAAGCCAGGGTGCCCTACTGTGGTAGGAACTAAAAGGATAATAGGCAGAGCATTCATAGTGTGTGCTCTACCTAGGCTCCCCAGTACCTAGAGCTTAAGGCAAAAACATATGCCATTAGGATTTCAGGAAGTGCAATTCCAGGAACCAGAAGTGAGGGAAAGGGAACTGAGAGATGGAAGATTAAATCAGTTCCAGGGTACATTTCCAAGCTGGCCACGCCATAGTAACAAGTATACAGCTGATTGCTTGACTTCCAAACGCTATCTCCTAGGAGGATGTGTAAAGCACTGCATTCCAGGACTATCTACCCAAAGGAAGAAGATTTGCCCCTTAGCTTCTGTATCTCATTGGTAAAAGCTTTACTCCGTGGTACCTTCACTCCCCAGAACTCTCAGATCGTGCATGTGTGGGCATCAGGTGAGTCCCACAGGAAGGTGAGAGGCATCTGATGTGAGCAAGACGTAAGGGACCCTTGGGCTGTACCTCTGTGTAGTTGGTTAGAACCCATGCATATTTGGTCTGCTTAACCACCCGGGATGAAAAAAAGTAATCAGGGACCTCAGACAGGCTACGCTGAGAAGACTTGTGATGCTGCTGCATAAAATGTGCCTGATACATTTGGATTCTACTTTTGTTTAAAAATACACACTTACATACACATAAAACACACAAACACAATTACTTATAAAAAACAACAGCAGCCATATCTTGCTGGTGGGGATCCAGCCAAATTTTACTTCCACCCATATTTTTTGATATATGATTAAGCCTTTCTATAAAAATATATTTTAATTTTATAATAGGAAAATAGTTCTGAACAGTTTAGAAAGGAAGGCAGAGCAGTAAGCATTTTTTCACAGAAACTGGGAAAAAGTGATTCCACGTTTTCCATATGGTTTATTTTATGGGCAGAGATTAGGGTTGTCCTTTTCTTCAACAAAAGGTTGAATCTTTTATGATATTGTTCGGAAAAGTAGCAACAAATTGCTTTTTAAATATAAGAAGTGTTGCCCTGGCTGGTGTGACTCAGTGGTTGAGTGCCAGCCTGCAAATCAAAGGGCCACTGATTCAATTCCCAGTGTAGGGCACATGCCTAGGTTGCAGGCCAGGTCCCCAGTAGGGGGCGCACGAAAGGCAACCATAAGTTGATGTTTCCCTCCCTCTCTTTCTCCTTTCCTTGCCCTCTGCAAAAAGTAAATAAAATCCCTGGCTGCTGTAGCTCAGTGGATTGAGCGCGGGCTGCAAACCAGGCATTGCAGGTTCGATTCCCAGTCAGGGCACATGCGTGGGTTGCAGGTCACGGCCCCCAATGTGCAGTTGCACATTGATGTTTCCCTCTCTCTCTCTCTCTCTCTCTCTCTCTCTCTCTCCCTTCCCTCTCTAGAAAATAAATAAATAAAATCTTTAAAAAAAAAGTAAATAAAATCTTAAAAAATAAATGTAAGAAGTGTAACTCTTGCTTTATAAAATTAGTTTCTAAAGAATTAGAATAAAGAAGAATAAAAAAATTCTAGGCAATTCAGAAAAAAATAAAAAACATCCTTTGTCTTTATATCCTGCACTATGTATTGGGTTGGCCAAAAATTTGTTTTTTTCCATAACATGGCTGTAGTAGTACAGTTATCTTTAACTTCATTCAAAACAATTTCATTGGATTGTATTGTGACAGCTGTCATATCAGTGTGCATTTAAAAGAAGTTATCAAAATTGGTGAATTTTTGTGTAGCCATTTTGAAGAGGAAAGAATGTACACAAATTTTCAGCATATTATGCTTTATTATTTTAAGAAAGGTAAAAATACAACTGAAATGCAAAAAAAGATTGTGCAGTGTATGGAGAAGGTGCTGCGACTGATTGAATGTGTTAAAAATGGTTTGTGAAGTTTCGTGCTGGAGATTTCTCTCTGGACAATACTCCCCCGCCCCCCCTTGAACCAGTTGAAGTTGATAGTGACCAGATTGAGATGTTAATGTGTTAATTGGGAACAATCAACATCACAGCATGTGAGAGGTAGCTGACATACAAAAAATATCCAAATCAATAAAGTTATTGGTGAAAATGAAAAATGTGTCTTTTATTTTATGGAAAAAACTCTGTGGACTTTTTGGCCAACCCAATATTTCATTCATTCCCTCATTTATTAATTTAATCACTAACCAGGCACTTAGGTCTCTGACCCCCTACTATAGTTAAGGTACTGTGCTAGTCACTGGGGGTGCCAATATAAATCAGGAGGAATCCCCCACCTTCTAGGGGCCAATGTCAGAGTGGGAGAAAATGGATGTGACAGAGACAGTACTCACCAAATATTCAAATGCTTTCTTGCATTTCCCAGCCTCTATTGCAATTACGTTGGGGCCATGTGACAAGTTCTGTCTACTTCTGACCTAAGGCAGATGTGACCTGACGTGACTCCAGCTCTCTTTACCCCTGCTGCGATGACTTTGGAGGTCACATGTACTACATGACACAGCTGTGAGAGGGACAAGGCCACCAGATTGCCTTAGATAATGTATGGAGTGAGATACAAACCTTCATTGTGTTAATCAATTCCTTCCTTTTTTGACAGAGTAAAATATACACGATGTAAAATTTGTTTAACCGTTTTAAAGTATGTAATTCAGTGGCATTAAGTCCATTCACAATGTATATACCCTTCTGTTTGACAGGTGCTCATTTGAGACTTTGTGAATATGCTGTTCCCCCACAACTGTGAGCATCCAATGACGAGTCTTGGATGCTGCTATTACCACAACATTTATTTAATATGATAAATTTACGCAGTTGATCTTAATATTCCCTTTTACTAATGAGGAAACTTGGGCACAGAGAGGTTAAGTAATTACCCAATTTAAGTAACTTACCCAATGGAGCTGGGGATTGAGCCACATCTGACTTAACGATCAGTGCATGCTTTACAGCCGGAGTTGGCACACTGTGGCCTGTGGGTCAAGTCTGTCACCTCTTTCTGTAATGAAATCGTATGGAGACACAACTGTGCCCCTTCATTTGCATATTGTTCATGGCTGCTTTCATGCTAAACTCCCAAAGTTGAGTGGCTGTGGCAGAGACCAAATAGCCTGCAATACCTGAAATATTTATTATTTGGCCTTTTATAGAAAAAAGCTTGTTGACTCCTGCTTTATGGAGTAGGTATTTACATTTTTATATTTGTTTTTATTAAAATAATACATGCACATGTTTGAAAATCAAATAGTGCTACAGCTTTCTTTTGTAAAAGGAGGTTCCTGCTGCCCTCTCTCCCCATTGCCACTCCTCAGACAAAGGCGTGCTGCCTTCTTTAACTGTTCTGGCCTTTACAGTTAGTTACACTCCAAATAGTATCCTTATTCCATTATTTCTCGATGTATCAATTTTAGATCCTAATTATCAACTGACCTAGTTTAGGCCACTATCCAACTTTTCAGTGCTATATTATAAATAAATTTATCATTCTTAGCTGAAATGTAATGTTTTATGATCATTTAGTTTTCTGCATTTTGCTTAGAATGTACATAAGAAAGTTAACGTGAATTTAGCAATAACTAACATTTTAGGACTTCATGTGTGCCAGGCACTATTCTAATGCAGTTTCACGTAGTAAATAAAGATTAAATCAATGTTTACTATACTGTTATTATCTCTATTTGCTACATGAGAAAACATCATTTAGAGAGACTACATGATTTTTTCCCTTGGTCAAGCGCCTAGTGGGTGATAGAGCTGGAAACGGACATTCAGAACTTGAGCTCTTAAACATTGCATTATAATGCTGTGTGGAGAAGGATAACTTTTTGACATTCATAGATTTGTAGTTCTATTAGCAAATCTGAAGATTTATAACATCTAAGTTTGCTGAGGCGCCAACTTTGAACCTGAATTGAGACAGGTGTAGTTGTAGTCAGGTAAGTGGGCCAGCCAGCTGCAGGTGCTTTTTCTGAGGGCAGTTCTGGTTTTTACTGGACCATACGTTTGCACTGCCTCAGTCTAATGCACTGGCTTTCAGACTTGAGCTCACCTCAAAATCACCTGGTAGGCTTGGCAAAGCACCAATTCCTGGGCCTCACATCTACCTTCTGATTCTGTAGATCTACTGTGGGGCCTGAGGTCTCACATTTCTAACAAGTTCCAGGTGAAGCTGAAGCTGCAGGGGACCAAACTGGGCTAATTCCTGAGTGTAAGGGGTCTTCTGTGTTACTTTCTCATGCTCTTTAATTGTTTTACTTCTGTTAGTTCTCTCCCATCAGCTAGCTTGTGAGCTCCTGGCACACAGTTCAGTTAAGTGTGGCTTACATTTTTTTGTTGACCCCACAGAGGCCTGTGTCATGTTGCACATGTAGTAGGTAGTAATAAGTTGATTATTTGTTCTCCTTTATGGTGTTTTTGTAATTTTGACTTTTTCATTTATAAACACTATAATTGTAATGTATATTTATCATGCATTCTCATTATAAAAAATTTGACTTTTAAGAGCACTACCACCCTAGCAAAAAACTTAGCAGAAAAGTAGCAGCAGCCCCTAGAGGGCTTTCAGGGGTGTGAGATTGTAGGCAAGCACTGAGGAACTCAGTCCTCGATTGGTGCAGTGTGTCAAAGTATGTAAAGTAACTTGTAGGGTATTGCATGTAGATGCTTTCTCTGATTTGTAGTAGGGGATCTTGCCTTCAGCATTCTTTGAGATTTTTTTTAATCTTCTGTTTATATAGAAGTCAACCAGAATCAACATGTCTGGGACTGAGGAAGGAATTCTTGGAGGCCGTGACAGCTTTCCTTCTTCTGCCGGTAGCAACTCTGTGTTATGCTTTGGACAGGTAACTGAGTATTTCACACCTGTGAAGAATGAGGTTAAATGAAAAAGCTATGAGGAAGCAGTTAGTAGACCACTGTCATGTACATATGCGTAAGCTATTTATTGTTATTAGTTTTTCCTTTACATGTATTATTGTATTTTTTGGACTATAAGATGCACCCCCCCCCCAAAAATTTGCGAGGAATAATGGTTGTTAATGCTGCTGTTGACTTCTATTTACATTTACATTGGTGAAATATTATGTTATTTATGTTATTAAATATTTTACCACATTTTTTGCTTCAAATTTTTTTCCCTATTTTCCTCCTTTAAAACCTAGGTGCGTCTTATGGTCCAAAAATATGGTATTTTGGAGCCTTTGATGAACTCTCAGGACATTTTGGAACTTTAGCATCAACAGACTAATAGATTACATTTAGCTTTAAATTTTCTTTAGTTTTTGGATAGATTAAATATTCATATAACATTAAAAATGAAACAAAGACATGAACAGTTTTACTGTTTCCCTATCACGCTGGCCCACCTTTCACCCAGTTCTCTGTCAGAGGCATCCAGAGTTTCCGGTGGCATTTTATGTAACCATATCCATGCATATAAAAGACATTCTTGCTTTGTCCAGTCATATTCTTTACCAGAGATCTGTTTGTGAGTACTTGTTTTATCTAAATGGGGAAAAGGGGAAAACCACCCAGGGGACAGAAACCCAAACGTGTTTTAGTGTATGTATCAGTGTGGGATGGCAGGTTGTTCAATAGGAGAAGAGGCAGGCGCACAGCTTTGGAGAAGACAGTGGAAGGAAGACTCCCTGTCAGTTTTCTCTCTTCCATTCCTTCACCTGCATAAATGTCATATGCAGACTTGAAAGTGGGGATTTTTGGTTTCCCAATTCTGGCTTGAGAAAGTTTTGTAGGGATAGTAGTGACATCTGAGGCAGTGGTTCTCAAAATGTGGTTCAGTGACCCCTGGGGATCTATGAGATCTTTTCAAAGTCCAAGAGGTTAAAATTATTTTCATAATAATACTAAAATACTGCTTGCTTGTTTTCACTCTGATTCTCTCACGAGTGAATGGTGGAGTTTTCCAGAGACTGCATAGCATGTAGGGTATTGTCCTGGTGGCTGATGGAATGTGTGTTGGTTTGAATTCCTCATGTTGGTAGGTAGAGCCCACATAAACAACAGTTCTTAGGGTCTGTGATTCTTTTTAAGTGTGTAAGAGGGTGTGGAGTCTGAAAAGTTGGAGACTTGCTGACATAAAGAATATTGGAAATGTCAATTGCATTTTCTTTCTGTACTGTAGTACCAATACACAGCAGAAGAGTACCAGGCCATCCAGAATGCTCTGAGGCAGAGGCTCGGCCCAGAATATATAAGTAGCCGCATGGCTGGAGGAGGCCAAAAGGTACAAGAGTTTATACAGCTAAACAGTGGGTGCCCATGTGGCTGACTTCTCAGATGATCTCACCGACTCCCTGTCTGGGTCCTTGTGGATTCAGAAGGCCTCTTGTTCACTGTTACCCAATGTTTCCTAGTGTCTTTGGGAGGGGAGGGCTTCTGGCCTTTATTGTCATCTCAAGTGACCCAAGGATTGTCTTGAGACTTACATGCCTGCCATCATAGGATTTTTACAAAATCTTTTAAACATATGTCTCTTGCCATTTGTTTCTAATTTTAAGTATTGCGTATGTTTTTGGCCCTCTGTAATACACATTAACCTGAGATGTGTACGTTTTTGGAAATTGAGTTTTGGAAACTGTTAGGCAAATGGGTGTCTTTACCCTTGATTCTAACCCCTCCAGGCAGAACATTCATTCTAACTGGCTCCTTCAGGAAGGGTCTCTGAAATAAGTTCACTGAGAATCTTTTCTGGAATATTTAAAGGTGGTTTTGCCAAAAAAGCTGGTAAGGAGTGAATTAAGTACATTTTGATATACATGTAAGTATGGCAAGAAATTTTAACAAGCTATTTTTTTCTTTAATTTTTTTTTTCAGGTGTGTTACATTGAGGGTCACCGGGTAATTAATCTGGCCAATGAGATGTTTGGGTACAATGGCTGGGCCCACTCCATCACACAGCAGAATGTCGGTGAGTATGCTTCCTGGCATTGGTGACTTCTTCATCTCCCTTACTTGGCATTGTCTAATTTCTGATAAGAGTACTTTGTGGGTGAGGTGTCGGGTAGGTGTATCTGGTTTCCAGTAGGAAGAGTATGGGTGAAGCACAGGGATCAGTATCTTTTCCTACTGGTTTTCTTTCCCACTCCTAGATTTTGTTGATCTTAACAACGGCAAGTTCTACGTGGGAGTCTGTGCGTTTGTGAGAGTCCAGTTGAAGGTGAGGGTGATGGAATAGACTTGCTGCCTCCAAGAGTCAGCAGGGTGGTGAGAACGAGTGAGCAGGTAGGGGAGTCTGTGGGCTGCGGTACACCCAGCTGGAGAACGGGCCCCAGGGCTGGGTCTCAGCCAGTCTTCTTAGGATGCTAGGAGTCGAACATTCTTTCCCATGTGGCCCCTAAAAGGATTTTAAAAAACTCTGTTCTCTGTACATTTCTAACTTGACACTTAAAAGTTTTTACCATAAATCTAAATAGTTGCAAGAGTATAATTTTAGGTCTATTGTGAAATCTGACATTCTGAAATAAATGTTATATCTTTTTATAATGTACCAAATGATTCTAAATATCATAGAGGATTAAACACTGTCATCCATTTAAAAAATATATAAGCAAACTATTCTTTCATTACAAGAAATTTGACATTGTTTCTTCTTGAACTCATAGTTCCATTCTATTTCTCCACTAGCTCTTATCTTAATATAATATATACTTGTCACTGAAGTCTTTTTTATTAATAACTTGATCATACTTCTCTGCCTCTGTGTGTGTGTGTAAAAATTAATTTTTTTCAGTAAATTTCCAGGGACCTGAAGACTCTAAATAATAAAAAATTTCCTCTGGATTGACTTAATGTTACAGGTATTATTAGCACATAATTGACCACTCAGTTGTGTTAATGTGAAAGAGAAACAGAACTTCATCAAAATTTTTATACTTAATAAAAATAAAATTTTATGGAAAATGCATTTCTTAATGACATGGATGATGCTGTGTTTTTTTTCTTTTTGTTTAGTTTATATATCCATAGTTTAATATTATTCCTAGACAGAACATTCAGCATTAATTCTATTCTGACTTTATTTTTATGAACAGTGCTGAAAAACTTTATTCACATAAACTGGGAACAGAAAGAGTTTTATTACAGTGTCATTCATTTCTTTGAACGCTTTCTGAGTTATATTCCAAAATTGTAGAGTGCAATCACCAGGAATTATATTCAGCTCTCTAGGTGCAAACCACTTGATCAGCTCCACCTTCACTGTTGGCAAAAGTCAAAAACTGGGTACCACGTGACTTGGAAAAGGATTTTCTGCCCGATCATTACAGTCTGTTATATAGAGTACTTAAAATTTCCCTTTAACTTGGTGTCCCAGGGTTTGTATACCTTTCGGTAGTGCATCTGAGTGAGATGTGGGGTAGGTTGGATATGTGTGTTTTTTAAGTGAAAGAGGAAGTGGGAGAGGGGAATTGTCTTGACCACAGCTGCATTTCCAAGCAGATCAGGTCTAGGGAATAGTACTGGAGATTGATTTTCTTACTCTGTGCCTACGTGCCCTTTAGCAGGGCCCTGGGTCACGTGTGCCCAGTCTGAGCACCACCCTTAGAGGAAAAGAAGAGCTACAGAGCCAAAGTCACAGCTGCAGCTTTTCATGTTAGACTTTGAACTTTTCTACTTCCAGGATGGTTCATATCATGAAGATGTGGGCTATGGTGTGAGTGAGGGCCTCAAGTCAAAAGCCTTGTCTTTGGAGAAGGCCAGGAAGGAGGCAGTGACAGATGGGCTGAAGCGGGCACTGAGGTATGCTCAAGGGGTCGGAGTCTACTCTGCTGCATTTCAGTGCTGGTTTTAAAGCAGTTTTGGTTCCTTTGAAAAGGTAATATATTCACATTGTTCAAAAATCAAAATACTTAAGTCTGCCCTGCTTTCCTACTTATTCTCTTGTATTTTCCCCATGCTACTTCATGCTTTGGTGTCCTCTTTTGGGCATAAGTGGTAGAATACTATGTTCTCTGTTCTGTACTTGACTTTGCACTCGCTTCTCTTCTACTTAGTAATGTATTTGGAGACTTCCCACATGGGTACACAGATAGCTCCTTCATTCTCTTCAACACACCTAAACACCTCCTCATTTTGCGTATGTCACTTAGTTAACTTAGTTACATAGAGCAGGGTTATTAACCTCTTTGGGTCATAGATACCTTTGAGATTTGAGGTGAATCGGGTCACCAGAAAAATACATGTGTAAACGTGCCACCAAAAATTTGCAGCACCATGGCATGTAAAGGAGTATGTGTATACCAAGTAAAGAACTTTGGTCTTGGAGGACCGTGCCCCTAATTTTGTGTGGCTCACTATTATTGGAGAATTGTAGCAGTCCTCTGGGAAAAAAATCTCTGCTCTGGAATTTGTGCTCCACATCAGGATGTATAATGGGGTTTTGTGAATGTTTTTTTAGTCTTCATACTCATTGCCTCTCGTTCAGGATAGTGATTTGTGACTGTTATGCCCACCACTGTGTTCTGACAACCTAATCCTGTGCAGGAACGTGGCAGGTGCTCAGTAACCAGTGTTGAAGGCATATGAGGGCCCATTTTTCCGCCGCCATTGGGAAGCAGTGTGCACAGAGTTGTAGCTCTGTTCTCTGATACTCACATATAACAATCCTCATCCCTGTTTCTTTTTTTTATTTCTAACCCTTAGAAGCTTTGGCAATGCACTTGGAAATTGTATTCTGGACAAAGACTATCTGAGGTCACTAAATAAGCTTCCACGCCAGGTATGTTAGAAATGAATGAAAGGAATGTATCTGTAATAAAGATCTAATTCCCTTGTGTCATGGGCTGAGTATTTGGAATTGAAGAGGGGAGTGAAGACTCAGCTGCTTAAAGGGTCTGCAGTATGTAGTTCAGACTTCTTTAATTATCAGAGCTTGCAGGAACTCATCACCTTATTTCACAGCTGAAAAAAACAAGCCTGGAGAACTTGTGTTACTTCTCTCTCATACAGAGAGAGCCGTGTCTGGGAATGGGCTGTGAACCCTTGAGGGAGCACGTAGCCCTCAGCAGCGCCACTGTCATTTCTTAGAAACACTCAGAACCTCGATCCCCTGTTCATCCTTCTTGCTTTCCCTTAATTCTGGTGTCTTTCAGGTTTAGACCTCCCTTGTTTCTGTCAGTGCCTGTCCCATGATCTGAGCCTTTGCCCTTGGAGAATGGGGTCCGGAGTGTTCTGGTTGCCTGGCACAGGGTGGCTGTTCCCCCTGATGTTCTCAGGGGTCCCTGCAGGGCTGCCGCCAGGGCAGCATTCCCCCTCTTGTACTTAAGGGTTCTTCTCGTGGGGCCCCTAATAGAGGTGTGTGTCATTTGGCATCTGTCAAAACTCCATTTATTTCCTTTTTTAAATCTTTTTTGTTTTAAAAGATTTTATTATTGTTTTTTTTTAGAGAGAGGAGAAGGGAGGGAGAAAGAGAGGGAGAAAAACACTGATGTGAGAGAAACATTGATTGGTTGTCTCTCATATGCATCCCAGCTGGGGACTGAACCCATAACCCAGGCCTGCATTTTGACCAGGAATCGAACCAGCAGGCTTTTGCTTTGCAGGATGATGCCCAGCCAACTGAGTCACACCACCCAGGGCTTTTTAAAAATCTTTTTTATACATTATTGTACATACTCAATTTGCTAATATTTTGTTAGGGATTTTTGCATATATGTTTATAACAGGTGTTAGTCATAGTATTTTTTTATTGTAAAAAACACATAACAAAATTTACTATTTTAACCATTTTTAAGTGTACAGTTCAGTAGTGAGACAGATCTTTAGAACTCTTTTATCTTGTAATACTGATGCTCCCCACCCAGAAAACAACTTCCCCTTCTTCCAGCACCGATAACCACCATTCTACTGTCTGTTCCTAGGAGTTTGACTACTTCAGATGCTCATATAAGTGGAAACACAGCTTTTGTCCTTTTGCAACTGGCTTATTTCACTAAGCATAATGACCTTAAGTTTCATCCATGTTGTAGCATGTCAGAATTTCCTTCCTTTAAAAGGCTGAATAATATTCCATTGTGTGCATATAGTATCCTGTTTTGGGGGTGCTTCTATCTCTTCACTGTTGTGAATAGTGCTACTATGAACACGGGTGTACAAATATCTCTTCAAGGCCATGCTCTCAATTCCTTTGGATACATGCTCTCAATTCCTCCAGAAGACGGGTTGCTCATTCATTTCATAGTTATATTTTTGAGGAAATTCCATACCATTTTCTATAATGGCTGTACCATTTTGCAGTTCAACTAATAGTGCACCAGGGCTCCCGTTTCTTTACATCCTCACCAACACTTACTATTTTTATTTATTTATTTAGTTTTGGTTTTGATAGAAGCCTTACTAATGGGTGTGAGGTGATATCTTATGGTGGTTTTGATTTTCATTTCTCTGATGATTAATGTTATTGAACATCTTTTCATACATTTATTGGCCATTTGTATATCGTCATTGGAGACATGTCTGTTCAAGTCCCTTGCCAATTTTTAAATGGGCTATTTGATTTTTTTGTTGTTGAGTTGTACAAGTTCTTTATTATATATTTTGGATATTAACCCCTTATTAGAGATGTGATTGCAAATTTTTTCCCATTCCATAGGTTACCCTAGAAGTTTGCAAGTTTGATGTACTCCCATTTGTATATTTTTGCTTTTGTTGCCTGTGTTTTGGCGTCAAATCCAATATGAAGTTTTTCCCTATTTTTTAAATGAGTTTTAGATTTTGGGGTCTTAAGTTTAAGTCTTAAATCTATCTTGAATGTATTTATTTTACTCTTATTAGCATTTATTTTGTGCTGAATTTACTCCTGGGCTATAAGTTTTTGTTTCTTCAGTTTCTTCAGGGATATCTTTTTCTTCTGAGCAACCTCCTCTTCTGGTTTAGGAACAGTCTGCTCCTTTTTCAGTAGGATCATCTCAACGTGCCCACGAGCTCTATAAGGTCTGCGCCACATCTTGGCAGCTTTGTTCGCCTGGATGTGCTCAATGGCCAGAGAATCTACATTTAAACTTTACACTCAGCATTGCTCTCTGCATTTTTAACCATGTGAAGCAAAAACTCAGCACTCTGTTTGGGCCACCAACTCTGCGTCCAGCTCCAGTGTTTGGCCTGCACTCACTTACTGACTTCACCAATGTATCAATGGAATGGGACACACTGCTTCTTTAAAGTGACATCTTTCAGATACTTGGTGGCTTTTCTGATATGCACACCTGTGATGGCCTGGGCAGTTTCATGAGTCTTTTTAAAGTGAACATGAAGATTTGCCCATCTTGATTTGCATGATTTTGAGGGGGTTTCTGGGTCAAGCGAATAGGGAACCATCTTTAGAGCTCAGGTTGTTGACAGGAAGAGGTAGAAGTTGTTTTTCTATGTGACGTAAGATACAGGTCATTCTTTTCCATGTGGATTTGCACTTTACCAGCATCATTTGTTGAAGAGATTCTCCTTTCCCTGTTGAGTGCTCTTGGCATGCTTATCGAAGACCATATGATCCTATATGCATGGGTTTACTTCTGGGTCCTATATTCTTTTCCATTGGTCTATGTGTCTGTCTTTATGGCAGCATCATACCATTGCTATGGTCATTTTGTTAGTGGTTTTCTGTATCTTGTTGCTTTTTTGTCCCTCCTCCTCTTACCACCTTCCTTTGTGTTTTATGTATTTTTTGTCAGTGACATGATTCGATTTCCCCTCCTTATTACCTTTTGTATATATGTATATATTCTACAGATATTTTCTTCATGGTTACTATTATAATTATGTAAAACATCTTAAAGTTATAGCATCTTATTTTAAGCCAATAATTTAAATTGCATATAAAAACTCTAGTCCTTTACAACTTCTCCCCACCCGTCCCACCTCATGTTACTGATGTTATGTATATTTTTATATATTGTGTGTCCACTAACATAGATTTATAATTATAAAAGTTTTAATGGTTTTAAAATTATATTCTATATTCATAATATAGTTTAATCATTTAAATTTAAATTCTGTGTACCAAAATGAAAATAATATAGGTTACTGTATCTGTCCATGTATTTACCTTTACTGGAGAAACTCATATTTTTATATTCTTCATGTTATTGTCTTTCATGGCTTCTCTTTGTTTTTTACATAAAAAAATGAAGAAGTAATTGACATATAACATATTAGTTTCAGGTGTACAACATAGTAATTCAGTATTTGCTTATGTTGCAATATGGTCACCACAGTAAGTCTAGTTACCATCTACCATCATTAGTTACAGTTGTTTTCTTATGATGAGAATATTTAAGATTTACTCTTTCAGCAATTTTCAAATATACAATACAGAATTAACTATAGTCACCATGATGTACTTTATTTATTTATGTTATAACTGGAAGTTTGTATCTTTTGACTCACTTCATCCATTTTTGCCCACCTTTTACCTCTGGCAACCACTAATCTGTTCTTTTTACCTATGAGCTCTGTGGTTTTTTCTTTCCTTTTTAAACATTTCATAAATAAGTGAGATTGGTATTTGTCTTTGTCTGACTTATTTAGCATAATACCATCAAGGCCTCTTCATGTTATCACAGATGGCAAGATTTCCTTCTTATTTATGGTAAATAACATTCCACTGTAGATATATATACACCTCATTTCAGGTGAAGCCAGGCTGTGAAACTAGGCTGGCTGCTGTAGTGCATGAGCCAAGGCTCACTGAGGCCAGCTGTGGCTTGTTTGAGATGATTTAGAAAGTTGTGAAGCAGGAGCCAAGACCAGCCATTCACATGGAAAAGCAGCTCCCTAGGGATCTCCAAGTCCCATCAACATAGCCAGGTTGATGCAGTCTCAGATATGGCACCAGCTTACCAGCTCTGTGGGGGGAGGGTTTAGAAAAGGGACAATGGCATCTGCTCACTTTGATGGCAGACATTTCAGCTCCTCCCTGTATGCCATTGGTGCCTTTCAAGCTGCTACCCTGGTGCTGGAGCTCAGAGGGAGTGAGTCTGAGTAGGTGAGTCTGTGTTTGGGTTCTTTAAGAGGAACTGCCTGGGGCTCCAGAAATTTCTTCCACCAACTCAATCCCCGCTGGTTTTGGCAGCTAGAAGTTGTGGGTGCTTATCTTCCTGGCACTGGAACCCTGGGCTGGGCAGTCTGGTGTGGGCTGGGTCTCCTTGCTCCTGAGATATCCCTTCCAAATTTTTATCCATCACATGTGGGTATGGGACCAGCCCATTCAGCATCAGCCTTTGTTTTATAGTCTGTTTTGTCTTATATAAGTATTGCTAGTCCAGCTTTTATTTTGTTTCTATTTGCGTGGAATACCTTTTTCCATCCCTTTATTTTAGTATGTTGTGTCTTTGGATCTGAAATGATTCTCTTGTAGGCAGCATATGTAAGGGTCTTGTTTTCTTATCCATCCTGCCACCCTATGCCTTTTGATAGGAACATTTAACTCATTTACATGTATGTGGTTATTGCCATCTTATTACTCATATTTTTGGTATTTTATTGTTCTTTTTACAGAAGTCTCTTTAGCATTTCTTGTGACTCTGGTTTGGTGGTGATGAACATCTTTAGCTTCTTCTTGTCTGGCAGCTCTGGAAGGTCGCCTTGGTTGTCTGTCGGACGAGGTGCCATGGCTTCTGCACCGGTCATTGGAGCTCTCACAGAGGTGTGCGCTGCAGTTACCTCAGTGTCTCCGTAGGGAAAGGAGGGCCTGGAGCTTCCTTGTCTACCATGTTGCTGACATCACTCTTTATTTCTTTTCTACTCTTATTTTTTTTAATGAATTTCTTAAGTGATACAAAATATACACACAGAAAACTGTATAAATCATAATGGCACAGCCTGATAAATTTTTAGACGTGAACCCATTTGCATCCCCAGTAGAGAAACAGACGTTACCAAAAGCCCACGTCCCCTTTCCCCTCCAATTCACTACCTTGAGTTTCTCTTTTTTTTTTTTAATATTTTATTTATTTACTTTTTTTTAGAGAGGGAAGGGAGGGAGATAGAGAGAGAGAGAGAAACATCAATGTGCGGTTGCTGGGGGTTATGGCCTGCAACCCAGGAATGTACCCTGGCTGGGAATCGAACCTGGGACACTTTGGTTCCCAGCCCGTGCTCAATCCACTGAGCTATGCCAGCCAGGGCGAGTTTCTCTTTTCAAAAGTGATTGCTGTCCTAACTTTTCTCTAACTTCTAGCCTCATAGATTATTTTTCCTGTTTTTGAATCTTGTGTAAATGGAATTGCATGATGCTAGCACTACAAAAATTGCAGTATTAGAAAGTACATAGAGACATGTGGACAAGTGCACATGGCATAGAAGGTTCAGCTCGACGAATTCCAAAACCGAGCACATCCGTGTACTCAGCACCTGAACTGATAAAGCATTGCCAGAATCCCAGAAGTCTCAGTTGTGTCCGCTGCAGTCACTGCCAACCCCTCCTCTCATTACTACCCAGGAAAACCACTTTTAACAAAAATTAGTTTTGACTATTTTGTACTTGTATGGAATCAAACAGTTTTGTGTCTGGCTTTCATTCAACATGTTTATGAGATCCATTCATATTGCTTGTAGCTTTTTCATTGCTGTGTACGTTTCTATTGCATGGGTGTCCCATAATTTTTTTCCCATTCTGATTTTAATGCACCTTCATTTTGTAGCTTTTGGTTTTGAATAGGGCTGTTATTAGCATTCTTGTACATGCCTTTTGGTGCACATACATGCATATTTAGGGAATGATTGGGTTGGGTCAGAGGATAGGCACATAGTTTCAGTAGAGTCTCCCCGTTTTCTGATGTGGCATACTGAGTCACACCCCCACGTTGCAGTGTATCGGAGTTTCAATGGCTCCGTATCTTCAATGGCACTTAGCATTGTTAGTCTTTTTAATTTTTTTTCAAAGCTCATTTCTTACTTTTTACAATTTTTTTGTTGTGGTAAAATATACATAACAAAATTTACCATCTTAACCATTTAAAGGTGTACAGTTCAGTGGTAATAGAGACATTATGTTGCACAAACATTACTACCATTTATCTCTCGAACTCTTCTTATAAAATGGAAGACTACCACTAAATAATAGCTTCCCACTCCACTAGTCCTGTAGCCCCTGGCAGCCACCAGCCCACTTTCTGTCTGATGTCGGCCACTCTGTGCACCTCATACAAATTGAATCATGCATTTTTGTCCTTTTGTGACTGGCTGTTTTCCTGAGCATAAGGTCCTCCATCCACACTGTAGCATAAGCCATTTCTTCTTAACCTACACATTTACTTTCCAATGCAGATAAGAAATTTCATTTTCAGGTTATTTTTATCAAAAGGTAGTCAACCCAATCCCTCATTTTCAATTATTGTACCAGCATCTGTATTATCAACCGAGAGAGAAATTCTTCCAAGTGGAAAAGCTCTGACTTGCTGTAGTGCTCATGGCTTGTTAGTAAAACAATCTGCTGTGTGCTGTGAGACACCCGACCTTACTTCTCCCATTCCGTGGGTGCAGGAACAGCTCCAAGGGGAAGGTTCCCTACAGTCTTGGCTCACAACCTACACCAGTGCTTTCCAGGTTTTCTTCTTCCTGTCATTTGAAGAACACTTAATTGTGCCACAGCATACCTGGGTTTTTTCTGTGATGAGTTGTATTTGTAGGTGGACGTTCTGGCAGAAAGGGCAGAGAAGGTGTAGGCTGCCACAACCAGTGTGTGATAATTTCCACTAAAAAAAAAGAAAAAGAAAGAGATAAAAAACAGACAGCACCAAACAAATTCAGTTGCCATGGAAAGACAGATTTTACAGACCATTTACCCTAAATCAAAACTAAGAATTTTTATCAAAATTTCATTAACAAAGTAAAATTGTTTTACTCCTCATTTAATTAAAAATATTATTTGAAGTGTTGGATCTTTTGTCTCAGTTTCTCAGGACCTGGAAGGTATGATGGAAAAAGATTGTCAAATGCTGTTTTCTAGGACTCTAGATCTTTAAGGCAGGGGAAGGGGAAGAGCAGTTGGAAGAAGTATCCACCCCTCTCTCTTCCCTTGTTAGTTGCCTCTTGAAGTGGATTTAACTAATGCAAAGAGACAAGATTTTGAACCATCTGTGGAACAAGCAAGATACAGCAGTTGCCGACAGAACATGGCTCTGGGACCCCCAAAACCACCGGAGATGACCTCCCCTTGCCGACAAAGCCACTCAGACAATCCCCACATTGTGATGCAGGGAGACAGGGACAGCAGCCCCCGGTATGCAGCTGAAGTTCCCCCCTTTCCTCTTCTGCCTTCTCTACCTTCAGAGCCAGCACGTTTGTTTGTGTGGTCTCTCGGGAACTGGGTGTTGTTTATTCTGTTAACTCAGGAACTCATTCCCACCTGTGGCTCTTCTGCTGCAGAAGCCTGGTGTCCTCTGCTATGGGGAGGGATGCTACCTACCAGCGGAAGCTCCGGCAAAAGCAGTTGCAGCAGCAGTTCCGGGAACAAATGGAGAAACAGCAGCAAGTTCAACTATCTGCTCCATCCATTGAAAAGAAGAATCAGGGTTTGTGAGAAGGATGGGAGCAGATGCTCCCGGGAGGTGTACTCCACCTGGGGACTGCTTGTCAACTGAGTCCTGATCCTCTGCCCAGTGTGGTTTGGTGCAAGCCGGAGCTCTCAGTAGGCCTTCCCTCAAGTTACATACGAGATAGATGAGTCCAAAAAAATTGAGAGAGTGAAACCCTGCCATGTATTTCCCCATTTCTAAAAACACCAAGGAAATGGGCATGACAAAACCTGGAACTAGAAATTTCATGGCACAGAACTTTTGCTTCATTTTCTGTGGCTGTTTCTGCATCACAAAGCCTCTCTGAGCTGTCTGACTATAAGGCAGATTTGCTTATAAAGGTAATGGAGGCTTTGGCAATTATTTATCTATGAGCTTTAGTTTATTTCAGGGTCCATATTCAGTGGGAGCTGCGCATAGAGGTTATTTTTGGTCTTTCCCAGAGAGTAGAAACAGGAAAGGCTAATCCCAGACTAATTGGATTTTTGCCCAGCTTCTCCCTAAGAATTATGAAAAGTTCATAGAGGTTATGAAAAGTTCAAAAAGTTCATTAATAGTTTCCTCAGCACTGAGGCTGAAATTAATGTAGGGGAAAAAAAACATTGTGGTGGGGATGTTCTTCGTAAGAATTATTCTAGATATTTACTGTATTTTGCCATGTATAATGTGCTCCCATGTATAATGCACACCCATTTTTGGCCCAAAGTTTCAGGGAAAAAATCTTTTAATTCAAATTTTCATTTGTTTATATTTAGATATTTATTTTTTGTGTTATAAAGGAATTTTAGCATTTATTTTTGAACATATTGTACAAGAAATTTTGTGTAACAAATAATTACAAAACACAAGAGCACATACAAGGTATTTCAGGTACTAGTCATGTGTATAATGAATGCACATCCTTCTTTTTCCCTCAAAAATTTGGGCTAAAAGTGTGCATTATACAAGGCAAAGTATGGTAGCTTCCAAACCATTGCAGAAGTCTGGGGTGATGTGGGGAGTGAGGGGTGGAGTCCTCCAGGCCTTTCCCCTACCCATGTGACCAGTCATTGTTTATATCGTTTTTTCTGTATTGAATTTCTACTAAAGATTTTCTTGGAATAAGAGTTATAGCTTTAAGAAGTGTTCTAGGAACCCTTCTATTTTTGCCACTAAAGGAGAAATAAACTGTTTTCCCCCGATTTGGTAGGAAGAAAAGGGGTTTTTTTTAACAGGTAGGACTGGAATGCAGGAATCTTGAGTTCTGCTGCTGGCTGTACTATGAACCAGTGTAACACTAGACAGCTTTGCACTTCTGAGCCTGCTCCCTCCAACTGAGTTCTGTGGTCTCTCTCTGTGTGAACTGTAGCAGAGCCACCAGCGCCTCCTTTGAAGCATGGCACTTCCAAAGCTGAGGGTGCAGAACCACTCATTGAGAGCGACTTCCCTGAAGGTCAGTTGGGGGCTAAAGGAATGCTAAGTATTAATCAGGAAATACCTGTGAAGTGCTTGTAAGTTACTGTGCTGGATACCTCTGGTAGTTACAAATGCATTCTACAAGAGGCATAGAAATCCTTTCTGTTTTACAGTCCCATAATGTTTCAGGAAAAATAATGGATTGATGGCAGTAGCCATCATTCAGCTCGTCTGTTTTCCTAAGAGGAACTTCGATGTACTTTGATGTACTTTTACGAGTCGGGGACAGAAATTCTAAACACTATCATAGGGCCGTCGTGGCATGGGATTTCTTATGACCTGTTGTTTGCAATGCTTTATGTGAGAACACGTCTTTGTTTGCTGAGGCTACATTTTCCTGTGCTCTCTGTCCTTGCAGACAGTTTTGAAATATGGGCTATGGCTGCAGATACAGGGGACAGTGTTGTCAAGCCCTTATCGAGACCAGAACCCCACCAGACTGCTGCCACACCAGTCCTGAACCAGATGGTGACCCAGAACAGGACACCACAAAGCCTCTGCCACCAGAATCCACAAGCAAAATCTGACCTTTGGCACCTTCAGACTCCCAACATTAACATAACAGGTAGCAGTGTTTTAGGAACAAAAATTGAAGGGAGAAGCTGGGCTTAAACCTATGAATTTTAAATAACATTCTATTTAAAAGTAGGATGAAATCATGACAGTAATAGAAGTGTGACAAATTCAAAACTATCAACAACTGAACCTAGAAACAAAAACTAAGCAAGCGACTAAAACAGGAACAGAATCACAGAAATGGAGATCACATGAAGGGTTATCAGTGGGGATGGGGAGTGGGAAGAATGGGGGGAGAGGTACATGGAATAAGAAGCATAAATGGCAGGTACAAAATAGGCAGGGGGAGGTTAAGAATAGTATGGGAAATGTAGAAGAGGAAGAACTTATATGTGCAACCCATGGACATGAAATAGGTGTGGGGAGGGGAGATGCAGAGGGGGATAACGTAGAGAAAAAAAATGGGACAACTGTAATAGCATGATCAATAAATATATTTAAAAATAAAAAAATAGAAGATAATTGGTTTGAGAGCCAGAACTTGTCCTTTGAGGTCCTGACTTGAGCCCTTGATGGATGGCAGTAGGAAGCTCTAGCGCAGGGGCGTCAAACTCATTTTCACGGGGGGGTGGGGGGTGGGGGGGGTGGGGGGGGGGTGGTAGGAGGAGGGGCACATCAGTCTCGTGGTCGCCTTCCAAGGGCTGAATGAAATTTCTACTCCGTAACAGTTAAGGAGTAGTTACATTTCCACGGTCCTAAAATTATTTCGGCCTTCTGAAGGCAACTGCGAGGCTGATATGCCTACCCACACCCTGTGAAAATGAGTTTGACACCCCTGTGCCAGCGTGATTGCATCAGCTTTTCCAGTGAAAAGTGGGCTATTGTGATTATTAGTGAAACTTGATCTAGATAACAGAGGGATGTCTTCCTCATAAAAATTTTCAGGTTCAGGTTTTTTAGTTTAAATTTGTCTCGTTACCTAATACAGTTCAGAAATTAGTGAGTTGACTTTAAAACCAAGGCAACTGTATCTTACAGCTTTTTCTTTCATAGGCAGCTGTGATTCCTATAGGAAGAACCAGGACACGAAAAAAAGGAAGTTGGATCCATCTTAAAGAAAACTCAGGTCACTGGACTGTCAGAGAAAACTGCTTTTTGGCCATGGAATTATTCATCATTTCTTGGGGATGAGCTTTATTTCCAAGGATTCACTTGCTTCATTTTGAACTTTTCCAAAGGATTTGACTATTAGAACCTACTGCGGATAAAGCTGAGCAGATGGAAAAGAATTACTTTAAAAAAGCTTGTCATACACTGCAGTAGGCTTTGGGGAGATGAAATACCCTTTCTAAGGCTTTTGAGGCTCTTTTTATTCCTAACTATTGTTAATAAATGTGTAACTTTTAGGAATCACCAGTGGCTACAAGTAGTATAACCAACTTTTCTTTTAAATTTTATTTCTTACTGTGTTCTCACACTTTTCCCATTACCAATTAGCCCCCATATCCTCTTTTAAACAACTACTTACATTAAACTATTGTGAGTGATCTCTGCCTTCTTTCAGAACCTTAGGGCACCAAGTTCTAATATTACCCACACAAGGACTGTGCATCATGCTCAGAACAAAGCCCACAGTGGGGTTTCACTGCTGTGCATCAATCCAGCCTGTCATCCTCATCTGTGACCATGCCCTTGTTTAATTAAGAAAACAATGATCTAAGGCCTAAAAAAGATTTCAAGAGCACAAAATAAATCCATTACTTTGTAACAAAATAGGAAATATAAGTAGCTGTTTTTATTTTCCCATTTCAGATGTGATACAACCCACTTGAACATAAATTGTTTTTCTGTGGTGCTCAATAGATGTTTTATAATTCTTTCTCTTAAATAATGAGTTTACTGGTATACTTTTTTTTTTTTAAAGATTTTATTTTTAGAGAGGGAAAGGGAGAGAAACATCAATGTGTGGTTGCCTCTCGTGTGCCCCCTACTGGGGGACCTGGCCCACAACCCAGGCATGTGCTGTGACTGGGAAATCAAACCAGTGACCCTTTGGTTTGCAGGCTGGCACTTAATCCACTGAGCCACACCAGCCAGGGCACAAGTTTACTTTTTAAGATGCTTTTTCAGCTGTACCTCTCATCTAATCTTGAAGACTGGCTTTCATTATTATTATTATTATTATTATTATTATTATTTTATTTTTGGATAACAGACCCATTTGTGGGAAGCTGGGAATCTGAGACAAGGAACTCTTATTGCACAGAAGACAGCCATTTCTACTCCTTGGGAAGATGAAGAGGCAGATTTGGTCACATAGTCACTTTTGGATTTTGATATCCTTACCATCTTCAGAGTAAATATCAACTTTGCAGCATAACCTCATTTCAGGTCAGAATTGACACTAAAAACAGTTCTTAAAGTTAGGAATCCATTTATAAATTGCACAAAAACAGAGCTAATGAAATCGTGAAAAGGAACTGGCTGGAAATGAAACCTCACAACTCAACAAAGCAAGTTTGGTTTATTTGAAAGGTTTCATTAAATAAATCTACAAAGGTAACAAACTGAAGCACAAAGTGCAATCTTACAAGAAGCGCAACACCCAGAGTTAGTGCAAAATGTACAATTAACGGCTGCAGAGAAACCCAAGGTTGAAATTCAGTTTATTCATTTTTTAAAACAGTGTACATTGTTAAATAATGTAAGGAAAACATTTATAATTCAGAAAGATCTTTTTTTAATGTGGAAAAAAGATACTCAAAGTGTACTATTAACACAAAAATAATTTAAACATTTCAGTAGCACTAGTTCATTCCTCTAGGCTTCAGTTATTTCATCCACAGGAGGGAAAAAAAATCAACAGTAAATAAAACCAGTTTTTACTTTTTTGTGAGTGAAGAGATCTCAACATTATTAAACCAAAATAACAAACAATGTGCTGCATTTGGTTTGCTTGTTTCCTAGTAGAAAGTATTGTTTTATTTATCTTAGGTGGTCTGTTTCTTATCTGGCCACCTTCTTTGTTCTAGCCTCACTCTTACCATCTCCCCAAGAATTATAAGCAGAGGATAAGTAAACAATTTTGAAGGAGGGCTTGGAAGCCACGCCCGGTTCATTTCTACATTGCTAAACTCTTCAGCTTTCATTTGTGTCTTTGGGGCCGAGGCTAACTTACGGAGACAGGGCCCACAAAGGAACAACAGGATAGGAGAGCCAACCGCGCTCTCCCTATTGCAGGGATTCCTGGGATGTGCTATTGAAGTGGTAAGAGGTTAGAATATGTCAATTCCCCAACTCAAGAGTCAAGACAAGAAGCACCCCCAAAATTAAGAGTCCCAGCTTCCCCCCTCATCTGAGATGGTAAAGATCCCAACCTAGCCAATTAGGAGAGTATTTCCTGAAAGCTCTGAAAATAATAGAACTGCCCATTACAACTAGGCATAGCTAAATAACACTGGTTGGTTGCAGTTATTACTTAAGGAGAGTATTTGTTAATATGAAATGTGAGAATATCAGTTGCAAATGCAGAAATAAAGGAGGCATGAAAGATGTGATCCTGCAACCATTGGACATTATATAGAAGAGCAGGAAGAAAAAGCATTCTTTCTGACAATGCTTAATTCAGATGTGGGTCCACTTTTTGCAAAAAATACAGTACCCTCAAGCTGAGAAATGCCTGGTACACTTGCAATAAGAGGAAAGCAACCCAAACAGTTCTTAGAGTGACTTTCTCCATCTGTGACTTTCCACTATCACGTTTCCCAGCTTCAACACCAGCTCCCACCTGCTTCCCTTTATATTCAGCCATTTCTTCTAGGCCTGTTCAAGCCCAGCTCAAATGAGTAAGGTTATGGCATCCACTGGTCAGGCATCACATATCTTCTAAACAAATATATTCTCCACTTTTAGTCTTTTTCTTTCACTTATTGAAAGTTTCACTTTCATACAGCACCTTACTCTTCTCAATTGCCCAATTTTGTCCCAGCACCCCTCCTCAAACACTTTCTGCTTTCAACCACTGATGTCAACTTAACTTCTCACCCTGCTCATCTTACACCTGCTCTAGACAAAATTGTTAAATGACTTAAAAAAAAATTTCAATTTCCCTTTGGCATCATCTGCTGCTGGGGTCACGTGGACCTTAGATTTCCTTCCATGTGCCCTTTGCTGATCTGGGGTCTGATGAAAAGTTGATGCTAATGGCAGAAGCAATAGAAGTCCAAGGCACTAAAAAATCCAGCAAGCAATACTGGTTGAACAGAAGTATTCAAGTACAGTAATTTATACAATTTTACATTCACATTTATTTATCTAATACAATGGAAGTACAAAGGAAAAAGTTAAAGTGTCTCAATAAGTAAAGGACAGAGCTAGCTTTTTTCCCAACTTTTTAAACCTTTCATATTTTCATCTTAAAACTACTGTTGTCCAACAACATTTATATATCACAGTGTTTCCACATCAAAACTGATGGCAAGTTACATGTCCGCAGGGAACTTTTTTTTTCCTAATTGCTAATGCTGCAGTCAAAGCTGCTAATATCATTTGCTTAAAGCACTAATGACCTATAAGAAAGGGTTGAAGCCTCAGTCTCCTGGTGTTTTCACTGGGTTCTAAAGAGAGAAAAAAAGAAAGGAAAACAAGTGGGGACTGTGTAGGGAACAGGGCAGGAGAGAGCCCAGTACTTTTTTTGTCTTGTGGTTTAGATTTTTGAGGGAACAGAGACTGGGGGTGGGTGCCCAGAAAAGAGCTCCACCCACCTGAAAATACAGAAGGGTTCTGGTTTTCCTTTGAGCACTCTAGTAGCTTTCTGATAAAGCCTTCTCTTTGCTAGCCCTCGCTGTGGGTGCAGGAAACAGGGAAACACGATCTGGAGACGCCCCACTGCAAGAAAGCTGCTCTTTCCTTCTCCACTCCAAATGATGGCAAAGGGGGAGGAACACTTTCTATCCTGAGGGCTCTAAGTACTAAAAACATTCCTTTCTGGCAAGAAATAATCAGTTAAATGCAGCACTAGTAGTTAGCAAATAATCAGTTAAACGCAGCACTAGTAGTCAGCACTCCCTCTCCTGCCCCCAGATCTACTCAGTTAATGTCTCTAGGTCTGACTAAGTGGTCCTCAGGTTGGAACCTGGGGGATTGCTGATGGATTTTTGCAAATTGCTGATGTTGAAATTTTGTAAGGAGGCAGTCCCCACAGGCTGGAACTGCCCAAGCGGCTGTGGTGTGGAGCCACCCGTCCCACTCCACTGAGTGTTAAAGGGTGGTGGAGCTGGAAAACTGTACTGCTGTGGTGGGCACATAGACTTGGTGAAGTGACCTAGAGAGGTAGCTGATGCTGCAGAGATGGGGGCAGAGCCACCCAGATTTGAGGTCATGGAGATACACAGCTGACCAGGTGCAGAAAACTTCCTTGCCATCCCAGGGCCCTGGAAACAAAACAACTCATTGTAAAGTATGGTAGGAGCATAAAACACACAAGTGTGAAACGGTCAGTACTAAGATATAATTTTGCAACTGGGACTGTTGTAATCTTGTGACACCTTTCAATTACTGTGGCTCTTCACACTTACCAAACAGGGTGAGGATAACTATTCTGACTGGAAGTGGGTGGGGTCATGCATGTGTGTATACACGGGCATGCAGTTCAGGGCATTAAAGGAAAAGGGAAGAAAAAATTGAGTTGCCCAATGGGGAGAGAAGGATCCAAGGAATGAAAAATTGAAGACTACCTGGGTGATTTTTGTTTTCTTGTTTTTCTAAAAGTGTTAAAATTAAACAATTAAACACTAAAGAAGGTCACGGCCTGAAATGTTAAGCACTGGGCCAGGTAGTTTCTATTGCCTCCAACCCAGATATGCTAAGTGACACAAGAGGGAAAACTTACCTCGTAGTTCGTATGTCCTTTGCTTCCTCTTCTGCCTGAAAGATTCATGGCATCGCGGGCCCAATTGTCCACCAGCTTGTGCAGGTCATCTGTGAACGTGCCCTTCCTGCTGGAGGTCAGGGCAGGAGGCTGAGCTTGGGCGGCCTGGCTGTTCACTGTTCCCCCAACAGTGTTTGTGCTGCTGGTCCCTAGAGTTAGAAGCAGCAACAGAATATAACCATTAAAAGGCATTTGGAATTTAATTTAATGAACAGGAAAAGCGTCACAGAATGATGACTGGCAAGCCACAGAATGGGGAGAGGATGGACTAGGAAGCCATGCAAGAAAGGAAGAGTCCAAGGTCTTACTTAGCCAATGCTTTGGCAGAACAGGTAATGAAACCAGATTCTCTTCAGGAGCTGCAGGAAGGCTAAACAACTCAGGATGATGGTCAGCACAGAGGGCAGGGGCCTCTTTCAGCCCATTCGCATGGCATCTCAGAGTACTGAACCTTACTGCCAGAGACCGCTCCCAGCATCGTATTGATGAGGGAAGTGTGGGACGGTCAGTGAGGCTAGTTGCTCTAGAATGTTGTGGAACGCAGGGGAAAACTAGGTGATTTCTTGAGTACTGGGGCAGGATTCAAGTAGGAGTTATAGAAATGCAAAAATACGTGCTTGCCCAGGAAAAGAAAGGTTCCCCAAACCATACTGACACTGGGATAATCTTTAGCCATTCTCTAGTAGAAAGAGGTGGTAAGAGAAACAGCAAGTTCTGTTAAAAAAAACTTTCATCTGGACCCATAAACACAAATTTGTAAACATAAACTTTGGAGGAATTAAGGCTTCAACCTCTCCCAATTTCCTATGAGTAAAGGCCCAAGACTGCTTGCGAGGCAAGTTTATTGTGTGCCTGAATCTTCCAACCCCAGGAAGGCGATCTATTCCTGAAGATGACCTAAGTTTCAACTGGTTCAAGGATTCTCAGCCCTTCCACCCCCACCTCTTCCCAGAAGAGCGAGCACTCTCACGTGGAAGCAACGGGAACATTCAGCTGAGGTAGGAGTGCAAAGGGGAGGAGGAAGCTTTGAGGTATGATGAAGGAATTCTATTTCTATGGTTTGATGAGAAACAAAGGAGTCTGTATCCTGCCTGATTTCGGCTCTTCTGGAGGGCACACTGAAGACAGTGCGGAGAGGCAAGTTTTAGGGAAGAGGGAAAGAAGAGTCATGGTCTTGTTTTTCCACTCTCACCCCCACTTTCTTACCGAGTTCCACATTTGCTGCAGAATAAATAAAAGGTACTGAAGTTGTGAGCCACTGGGCCTTAAGATATCCAAGTAATGCTGGGGACTCAATAAATGCATACATCTTCCGGCTTTCAAGGTCAAAGCAGCACCAGAGCGCAGCAGCATACCTGAAGCAACTCTGCCATTGAAAAGCCCTTTATGATCCATCGCTGACCAAGTTTACACCACACTACCCAGGGAATGGCACACACAAGCATGTCTGCACTCCAGTAACAGCTAATTCTGAGGTGAAGCTGCAGAGGAAGGTCACATGCTTCTTAACATCAAGGCAAGACATGGAACTGCTGCAGTATGTGTATTAGTTCCCTCTCGGTGCCCGTTACAGCCGCAAGGGGACTGCTATTGCACACACAGTGTGAAGGGAAGACTAATTTCCCCAAAGGTACAGGACACCCAAGTGGACAAGTGGACAAGCACAGGAAACAGCCTTCCTCGACTCGCAGGAGGGAGACAGTGGTGGGGTGGGAAGCAGAGGCAGTGAGGATGGCAGTGGTGACGGTGAAACCCAGAAGGCAAGCAGATCACATGCATGAGGACTAGCATCCTGCTTGAATGATTACTGCTTGGTGAGCTTGATGAGACGATCAAAACAAAAACAGAAATTATCCCAGGTGAGCAGGGCTGTCAAAGGCCAAACACAAGAAGCTCTGTAGAGGTGAACACAGCTTGCTCACAAAGCTCATGCTGGGAGTCACACCTCTCTAGTCTCATGCTCGTCACCTTTCATGCTGTGAGGCCCCTTTATAACCAAGTTTAATTTTTCATTTTAATCTGCATTATACAGTACTAGATTCTGAAAGTGGGGCCTATACCACAAGGAAAAGTCAACCAAACAGCTGACCTTATACTGGCTTTTGAAAACAGACCTTCCCCTTAAAGAAGGAAATAAACATATCCCTTTCTCACCAGAGAGTAACTCCTGGGAAAGCTGACTATAAAAACTAGGAGGACACGTAGTGCATTTAGTCCATTTTAGTAATAAAGTGTTTAAGAACATCTGTAATACAGATATTTCTGAGAACACCGTGTGCCTTCCAGCATACTGACTTACTTCTAAACCTTTCTCAGTGCTGCTGAAAACCTCTCAAAAGTAGAGTAATGCTTCACCACCAAAAATCTGTTTTTCCATTTTCTCGTGCCATTCCTACCCCCATGTTGCCAGAGCCTAGTAATGATAACCTCTTAGTGGCTACAGTTTACTGCCCAGTATATCCCAAGTAGAATGTTCTGGTTGACCCTCTAGGTGGCCTGCAGGGTTGGCAAACTGTCTGCACTTTAATGAGAGGCCATCGATCTAAGAAGCCAAACCCGATCAAGTCGTGTTTCTTGCCTCACCAATCTAGCAAACATGTATGCTTTGACCACTGCTGATTTTCCAGTGGCTGGTGCCTATTTGTTGACTCAAGCATTCTTTCCCAAGGGAATCAGGGATCCTTGGTCTCTGTGTGCATATCCATGGGCACATCCAGCCACAACTGTCACAGAGGTAGGCTCACAGGGGTCACCACTGAAAACACTGACTGTGAGGTGATTTCTTAATCTGGAAGGATAGCCACTGGTCAGCAATTAAGCATGTTAAAGAAGATATTAGAAAAGGGTGCAGAACTAGAGAGATGGAAGTTGGGAATCAGTTGAGTTGTGAGGCTTCAAGGTTCAAAGAGCTCATGGGTAATAAGCTTTGCAATCAAAGACCAAAAGTAACAGGAAAAAAAAGATAATTACTACAGAGCTGGTTGCAAGGACAGACTTTTTTCACCATCTTCCCTGAAGCACAAAGAGAGAGCAATGTGTTAAAAATAACGAAACATCAGTGTAAAATATTTAGAATCTCCAAACAGCACACAAAGTCCCAGCAAGAGAAAGCAGGAGGGGAGACAGACTGGTAGGACCTGGAGCCCTTGCCAGAGATGCAGTTCCATGGGATGTACTGGCTGTTAGCCTTAACTTGGTTATCTGACGACTGTGGCGCCTGGCTGACAGAAGCTGAGTTTCCATACCCAATCTTTGCATCTAAAAGAGTAATGCCCTGCATCAAGGTTCTGGGATGGGGAGGCACTCCAGTCTCTCAGATCTCACCGCTTGAATTTCAAATACCCAAGCAGTCTTTCCATTGATCCTGTCCCCCTTTCTGTTTCTCCTGCTGGGTTGTTAAAAAGCACTCAATTAAATGCATTAGCAATTCTACCACAGTAGGCTGATAGTACCATTGTTACAGTTTTCACATAATTTAAATTGGCTAATATATTTCCACATCCTAGACATACATACTAACGCTTTCCCCTCTAGAGAGATCTTTAAAAAGTATATGGAAAACAAGCAACTTTTGAACATAAATAAAGCATTAAGGCAAGCCATGCTTCTAAACCATTATCTATTTTGAGAGCATAAAATAATGCATTCAAAACTATTAAGACCTCCAATGCCTATAAGCACCAGTTTTTTTCTTCTCACATTTGCTTTAAATCTGTCTCTTGAAATCTGTACACCAAGGCTTATAAAATATATACTGATGTGCCTTCAACAGATGTTGGGCCTCTCATTTTAGACCCAAAAGGAAGAGGTAAGAGTTAATATTATGGAACACTTTCATTTGAACAACAGTATAATACCACCTACCTTTAAGAGTGTAATGAGAATTTACTGAAGTACTTTGAAGTGGTACCTGTCACATTACAAAATGCCTTGGTTCTCGTCATTCCCCCTCTTGGTCATTTCAAGGGGTATAACATAGGCCAGACATGTCACATTCTACTTTGAAACACCTGTATCAAATTAACGTCTTTTCATCTTTCTAGCTGGACATATAAATTAAATGCTTATTTAAGTGTCAAGATGCTAATATGCTTGGTCCAGCCTGGTTTTACCAGAAAGTTATTGATCTGAACGCTGAAAAACACACATGCTTGGAAAACTCCCAAACTAGCTAATGTCTTCCACATCCTTTGTCGAATAGCTCTGGACTAGTGATGTGTGAGGCAGGCTCAAAGACCTCAGAACTATACTCAGAAACAGTGACGGCCTCTTAGCACATGCATTTAACAAGCACTTCAATAACCACATCAGAAGTTTGAGGCCTTAACAGAGATCTTTATCTAAACTCTAGCAAAAGGTTTTCTATTTGAGCCCTATTTTTGTTTATTAAATTTTATTTCAATGTACATTTACTGATTACCATGTGCCAGGCAGACAGTGGCCAATCATAGGGAAACGTGCACTTCCTGTTACTGTGTACACAACTTAATCTGATTTGTACAACCCTAGAAGATGGGCATCATCTCCATTTCACAGATGGGGACAATGGGCTGGAGATGTCAGGTGACTTGCTATTGTGTCTTGTCTTTAAGAAGAAAGTTGGAGCCCTGGCTGCTGTGGCTCAGTGGATTGAGTGCTGGCCTGTGAACCGAAGGGTCACCAGTTCTATTCCCACTCAAGGCACACTCCTGGGTTGCAGGCCAGGTCCCCAGTAGGGAGGGGGGCACGTGAAAGGCAACCACATATTGATGTTTCTCTCCCTCTATTTCTTTCTCTTTACCCCGCTCTCTAAAAGTAAATAAAATCTTAAAACAAAAAAGAAGAAGAAAGCTGGAAAATCCCAGCAATTACTGTATTTTGCTGTGAATAACGCATACTGTTTTTGCTCAAATTTTTGAGGGAAAAATAAGGATGCGCATTATACATGGATAGTACCTACAATACCACCTTGTGTCTGCTGTGTTTTGTAATTATTTGTTACCTAGAATTTCTTGTACTATAATATGCTCAAAAATTCCTTTATAAATGCTAAAATTCCTCTTTAACACAAAAAACAAGTATCTGAATGTAAATAAATAAAACATTGAATTAAAAAATTAAAACGAAAGTTTTTTTCCTGAAAGTTTGGGCCAAAAACATGGGTGCCCACTATGCAGGGGAGCACATTATACACAGCAAAATACAGTAAGTCAAAAAGACCATTTGCCCACTCAGGTGCTTGGATTTGGTCTTAACAGAATAAATGCTTTATGAAAGTAACTACACCGAAACCCTTTCAACCTTTAAATTTATGAAGTTTGAAGGTACACTGAAGAAATTCTAGCATCTTTCAACTGACAGATAGTTAGGCTGATTGACCAGAAAAAGATTCCAACCTCTTCTGAAAAATAGAAAAATAGGGTAAAACTTTTACTTGCTGCCAGAATCTAAGTGCATCAGTGGTCAAGATGCTTTCTGTCACTTCTAATGACAAAGCAAGGGGCGGTACTGAATAGGACTATGAAGTTCAGTCTTCATTATTCTAAAGGATCCAGCAGTCTGTAGCCCGACACCATATCTTCCCTGTTATGGATCTATAAAGAAGCAGTTCTACCAGGAAGTTGCTTTGAAGTTTATAGAAACCTGTTATTCTTTCTACATCTTTTATCATAATAACCCAGGGACCCAAACTTCTGAGGGTAATAGTAGTTCAGCCAAGCCACCGAGTAGATGATACACAGAGACAAATGAAAATGAACTGCATGAAAGAGCAGATCCAAGCAGCAGAAAAACAAGGACGAGGAAGGAGTAAAGGTGTTACACACAAAGAGCCAAGCAGGGCGTACTCAGAAATCGGGTCCTCCTGCCACCAGGTTTGAATGTCACCTGCTCAGATGCACAGTTAAACTTCGCACAGCCTGTGAGAGGGGAGAAACAGGGAATAACAGAGAGAAGAGACAGAACACAACTACATGATGTTAGAAACTGGAGGCTGGAGTGGTGAAATGCACTACAATGGCACACAGAAGAACAAGCTTCTAGGGAAAGGTCAGATATATAGGATAGGGAAATTAGGCCTCAATTCCCTCCATCTGCAAAAAGCTGAAGCTTTTCACAGCAGGAATAATGCTAGTTTGCACTCTTACCAATAAGTCCATTTATTTTGTGAAGAGACAATCTAATCTGTAATTTCAACAATATTGCGGCAAAAGTACCTAAGCTAGCTATCCATATTTCCATATTTGTTCCTATTCTTTTCTACCCTGACACCCACTTCAAGTCTTGTTCCAATGTTACTAGAAACTCTTTCCTCTTCAGGATTGTTTTGAATGTTCATTAATAAATAAAACTATATTTGAAAAGTATATTTTATATATATAAATGAACTAAATTGTAGGACTATTCATCTTAGTATGCTACTGCCATACTTAGAAATTTAAAAAGTCTACACTGGCAAATCCCAAATGAGTTCTTCATCTAGGTCACAGACACAACTTTTTGCTTGAATGCCTTGAAAAGAAGCTATTTCACCTGATGGGAGTGCCGAGCGCACCTAAATCTAATCATCACCCCCACGCATTCAGCCTGAAGATCCTTGGAAGTGTACAATATCCAAGCAGTGACCCGGTCAGCTGGTCTCCAACCCACCTTAACAACAGGTTACTCATCAGGCTTTTTTGTCCTGGATATGGCAGTATCTCATTTTAATGTTTTTGGAAGATGATGGTTTCTTTACTTTCTTACCTTGACCTGGAGCAGAAAGGCTTGGTACTGAAATGGCACCATCACTGGTGAAGGCTGAATAGAGGTTGTCACTGGAGGGAGATGGTTTAAGGGGCTGTAACAGCTGATTCTGCCCAGTCTCTGGGATGTTGCCAGGAGGGTGGAGGGTTTGCTGGGGGTGCAGCACTGAAGCTGCACTCTGACCAGACAAATTACCTGCCAGAGGAGAAAGTGGCATGAGGAAACCTGTGTATCTTTCCCAATGCACTTAATAGGCACTGTCCTTATTCCTCCCATTTGTCTCACTGAGTGATTAATGGGTCAAAAGCTATAAATAATGAACCAACAGGAGGGGAAGTGAGGAATGACATGAGAATCAACAGTTAATAGGGCTACAGAAAACTATCGTAAGAGATTTTTAGCTTTAGATAGCCTAGATGGTTCACAAATCTGACCTGAGTAAGAAGACTAGAATATGTGGTAGATACAAGAGAATCCCATTTCACAGTTCCACAACTGCTGTTTTTACCCTGCTATAAAACACTGAGTTGGATCATGATACAAACAGGTTTGGCAAGCAGTGCATGCTCAATTTTTCTTGTAAGCAGGTGTCAAATCAAGTACAAAAGAGGTATCAAAAATGATGTAGGCGACTATGGTAATGCATATTTAAAATTATTCTTGGTAGGTGGCCTACAATCACTAGTCAAGTGTCTTGAAATTAATTTCTCCATTTCCTAATAACTACTGGAATAGAAGTCTACTCCAAAAAATGTGTCTGAATAAGCTGATACCCCTGTAATCACAACTCTACTACTGAACTGTTTCTAACATGCTAGAGAAAAGTTTGGGTCTCTAAAAGCTTCCAGAGAATGGAAAGCTGCTAAGGAGTTTGTAACTGCTCTCCAACACATTTACATTAGAGCTGCAGAGCAAACATGAGCACAAACTATTTTAGACTTTTTCATTTTTCAACTAATTACCTGTTAACATTACCATAATTATACCAAAGGGTAAATAAAAACTCTATCACAATCAAAATAAACGTATAATTCATTATAGGTTATGATTTAACTATCTTTTCAATTACAAACACCGGGAACTTCTTTATTCAATACAGGTTAAAATGACATAAAAACTTTGATCAAGGAAATTACCCCTAAGACATACTCAAATACCTATATGAAATTTATATTCATCCCAGCTGCAATTATGACCCAGTTGCATTCATTAAGAGAAAGAACTTAACTTTACTAAGTAGAAGTCAATGTATTTTTTTCCAACTGCCTACTAGTTTGGGGAAATATATGAGGTATGAGTTACACTTAGCAAATATAAATGTGAATAAATGCTAAATGTCTTATCCTTAAGAACAACTATAAATAAAGACTACAAACAGATAGCAATATAGATTACAATGGAATAGGTCATTGCACTCACCTAGTCTATTTCCACAGACTAAAAAAGAGGTACTATATATGTAGTGAATAGAGAATTCAAGGAAGTAAGAATATTAGGAAAGTCAATCAAACTCTTTTGGGATTTAACAAAAATAACAAACGTTCAATGGGCTATATTTACTGTTGGAGACAGAAACAAAACACAGGACAGCCATGGCTGACTTGGTCCAGGGCTGTTTACCTGAAAGCTGGGGGCTTTTATTCCCCAAGGAAGTGTTGCGACTAGATTTGCTGCCTTTGCTTTTAGTGGGTCGCCTTCTTCTCCCTGAAAGTGGGGCAGCTGGGGGAATAATGACAGCAGGGGGAACCTTGCCCAGTTTGGTGTATAAAGATTCAATTTCATGCTTCTGGCGACTTTGCAGGTCTTGAATCTCTTTAAGATGTCTATGAAAGATAACCAAACACAATTCAAAAAGATTACAACCACTTTGTTCAAACAAGAATTAACCACATATTCTTTAACCTCCATTCAGGTATTTATATACTTTTGAATCTTTTCCTCAAATGTACTTAATCTAACTTCTACTATCACAAGATTCTATTTTGTCAACTCATCTTGCTGTCCTCCATTACTCAAGCCAAAATCCAACAAGTTCCCAGCCAACAAATAGTTGATGTGTTAGGAGAAAAAGATTTCCTGGCTTTTGAGGCTATACACAGGAGTACTAAATTTACTGTTCTGATTTAGTTTGTCAAATATGACCCACAAACCCTTCCAACATAATCTACATTAGGTTAATAAAGACTTAAAATGATATTAATAAAATAATATAGTAACACTAATACAAAGGTGCTGACGAAGTTCTATTAACTAGAACTTCTATGGGTCCTTATGTGTACAGAAGACCCGATGAGAACTGTATACATAATTACCTTATCACCCTTCTCTTTAAAAGAATTGAGACATAAGCATATTGCAGTAAAAAGAATACTAATATAGGCAGTAGGAGTCAGGTCTTAATTCTGCCATGATTTTTTTTGTAAGAGAAAACATACTTACTTTTCTCGTAGTCGCCGCAGCTCCAATTTTAAGTCTTCATCTTCAATATCTGACTCATTGTCACTACTCATGTAAGAGGAATTGAGTGAATTACTAAGGCTTTGACTTAGATTTTGGATAGGGAGGCTCCTTGAGCTCAGTTGATGGGGGGAGCGTGGACTACCTGAACCATCATCCACATCCCTACTTAAGAAGGCAGCCTCCACGTCAGAAGACGGCCCATTCAGATGTGAAGGCTCTGATAGTTCAGGCTTTTCTTTCTTTGGTATCACAGGAGGAAGAATAGCTTGTTCCAAATCCACAAAAGGAGGAGATTCCACTGGTCCCTCTTTCTTTGCCTCAGTGATCTTATCTTCAGTTCTTGATACGGAGAAACGTCCTACTTTGTTTGCTGCTGTTGTCACCTGAAAACGTCCAACCTTGGTAGGCTGCCCAGTTTCTGACTTTGCTTCTGAGGCAGGAGTTTTGTGGACACCATCTGGCATATCTGGACAGACACCATGGATGGTTATCCCATTAGGGCCTGGCTTCACCAGGGTACTCTCTGGACTACTACTTGATAGCACTGAAGACTCTGAAGTGCTGGATTCAAAATGAACAGACTTTGAATCTTCTGACTTATTTTTACCCTCTTTCTGGGCATCATCCATTGCAACTGAAACCTGATAGAGACCAAAGTAAGATTTTTTTTAAAAAGGCAATATTTAATTTTTAGAATGGACCATTAAAAAAAGGAATCACTTTAGTTCCTAGCCAGTTAGTAGGCTCATTATTTGTTTACATAGTCCCTCATTTTTAAAAAAAAAATTTTTATTTACTTATTTTTAGAGAGGGGGAAGGGAGAGAGAAAGAGAAGGAGAGAAACGTCAATGTGTGGTTGCCTCTTGTATGCCCCCCACTGGGGACTTGGCATGCAACCCAGGCATGTGTCCTGACTGGGAACTGAGCTGCTGACCCTCTGGTTCACAGGCCAGTGCTAAATCCACTGAGCCACACCATCCAGGGCTTAGTCCCTCGTTTTTCATTGTGAAAGTAAGCAGAATACCATTACAGAGAACCATGTATCTGTACTGAGATGTACAGATTACATGTAGATTCTGAGTGGCTGGCTAAGCTTACTAAGTAAATTACTTTCATACCACAGGACTTACATTCAATTCAAAAATATAAGTAACAACCGGTCACAGAATTTTGAAGGTTGCTTGTGAATAAGAAAAACTGCCAAGGTTAAATCCAATAAGTGCTAAATGCCAGCTAAGCTTCAAGAATCAACATGACCAAGTGCTATCCCCAACTCCAATTGCTATCATGAAAATGTTAACCCTGAGAAAGGAGATACCAACTAAGAAGGGCTCCTGGTGGCTAACTGGGCTCAAATTTAAAAAAGGAAAAGAAGAAAAAAAAAACAACACAAAACACAGAGCCTAGCAACCATTCCTAACACAGGGGCTTCTCATGCAAACTATACTCCAGGGAGAAGTCTGTACTGAACTACCTACCTCTGCACTACCTGCCTGCACTGTATTTTTGCCATCTGAGCCAGCCCTTATAAAGAAGTTCCTGGAATCCTGTTTCAACCAATAGGACTGAGGCTTTCCCCATTCATTCAGAGCTGAGCAGCTATAGTCCCATCAACTTCTTCACCAAATAGTAAGTGTGGCTCTATCCTTACCAATCAGGACAGTACTTTTGGGATCAAACTTCCAGGATTTTGAGTACTCATTTGCATAAGGATAGACCCATCGGGGACCAGGGTTGGGGACTTCTGCCTACACAAGTCAGCCTTTTGGCTCTGGAAATGTACTTTCCCCTTTCCGCTGAAAACTGAAGACTGAAGCCTGTGTTTCCAATACTGAGCTGAAACCATAAAGGTATCCTTCTGGAGCAGAACAGGGGAGGCTAGAGCAGACAGCACAGCACAGAGTAGACCAGCAAGGAGCGGAACTGTCTAGTCAGAGAGAGGCATAGCCCCAGGGCTGCCATGCAGGCATTCTGTGCTGTATTACAATTGAGCTGTTTTGCACTGAATAAAGTTCCTTTCTTTAGAAACTGCACCTCAAACTGAAGATTCCCATTGGTGTTGGTGTTGAACTGGCACTGGCGACCACAGGTTAACAAGAATAACTGGAAAGTAGTTGTTAAAACAGTAATAAGAATTACTTTCAAAGCTTGTTTGGCACTACATACTAAGAGCCAGAAAATGTTCACTTGTTGGGCCAATTGGTGGAGTAAAATGATGTATCACTCGATGCTGACCCAATATTTTTACTTCAGAAATTAATCCTAAAGGTTATCCTAAATGTGGAAAATATTTTTATATACAAAGATGTTTACTGTTGCTACTTTACTTATGTTGCAAAAGCAACCTAATGACTAACAAGAAGAATGGTTAGGAGGTGAAGCAAGGTCAATTTTAGATATACACATGTACAGGAAAAAAGGAAAGGAAGTAAATACACCCCAAAAAGTAATCCTGGGGAAAACAGTAAGAATAAAGTGCTACACAAAACAAATATATCATCAAGTTGGCAATTTTGTCCCAAAAGGTAGGTAATAATTTTAGTAAATATATATACTCCCAAATATACTCCCAAAAAGGAATCAAAGCAAGGAAAAGTGGCAGTCTTACCTGAAATCGTCCCGTCTTAAAAACACCAGTTCCTGAACTAGTTGCTGTAACTTGTGGCACTGGAACAAATAGATAGAGTAGGAAAATAAATTAGCATCTTTAGTTAGCTTCTTTTCCCTTTGGTCAGAAATTTGGCAAAAGGAAACTACATATCAGACGGGGAAAGTTTCCTTACCTTCCTTTCCCCTTAGGCCTTGTTCAACAAGGGGAAGGTTACTATTTGCTCTCCTACAAGATCCCTTTAATATAAAAGATTATGCTGGTTGGGAAAAACTGTCCAAGACTGAAAATTAATCATTGACCTTCTACCTTTACCTATACAGGTGTATGCTGATATGATATTGTTTGAAGAAATAAGTTACCTACAGAAGTCCCCCTTATCTACTGGTTCATTTTCAATGATTTCAGCTACCCATGGTAATTCCAAGTAGAGAGAGAGGACATTCAATTAACTTTTATTACAGTATATTGATAGAGTTGCTCTATTTTTTATTAGTCATTGCTGTTAGTCTCTGACTGTGCCTAATTTAGAAATTTAAACTTTATCATAGGTATGTATGTACTGGAAAAAAAACATAGTATAAATATAGGGTTCTGCATTATTGGAGGTTCAGGCATTCCCTGGGGGTCTTGGAATGTATCCTCCACTGAAAAGGGTTAAGTACTATATAACCAAAGCAGCTTAACTACAATATTAGGAGATACTATAAAAACTAAAGTTAACAGGCAGATATACTCGGTTATTGATACTCCAAGATATATATAAAAGAAGGGAACAATGAGATTTTTACCTAGGATATTATGACCCATTTTTAAAATGAACACTAGCTATGGTAAACTGTTAGGCAACACTCAGGCAAAACCCTAGAACAAGGCAGTCACAGTGGTAGAACCACTAGTAAGTAGCTCTGAGCTACTTTGAAGGCACCTGTGTCCTCTCTAGCAACGATTGCTTGTTTCAGTTTCTTTCCAGAGATAATGTAGAATCTATACTAGCATTTTCCTTATTTTATACAACCAGGAGAACACTGATTGTGATATTTTCATTAAATGATACAACCTAGAGATCATTCTGCATCAATGTCTCATTCTTTTTAGTGGATGCGTAGTATTGTACTATATGCATGAAACATTTAGATATGAATTTTTAAACGTACATTTTAACCATGCTTCTACTGTTGAACATTAAGTTATCCAAACTTCTTAAAATTATAAAAATGTTCTAATAAATATTTTCTTTTAGATATATGGAGTAAATACCGAAGAATGGAAATGCTGAATCATTTCCACTTAAAACTTAACAGACATTACTAAATTTATCTCCACAGAGGCTGTACCAAGTCATCAGTGGCTATTAAACTTCTGAATATACCAATGAGAAATGAGAAATGCTGTCACTTGTAGTTTTACTTTCCATTTCTGTTATCATAAAGGAAGTTAAGGTATTTTCATGCCTAAGTTTCTTTTTTCTGTATCTTTTAATTTTTGGTCCATGCTGAATTTATAGAACTCTTTATATTAGCAAAGTACCCCTCTTTGTGATATGAATACATAAACACATACATGTCCTAGTTTTTCATTTATCTTTGGACCTAATGGCATGTTTTTTCCATGCAGAAAAATTTAAATCTGTTACTGACTCCAGGCTGGGTATTAAACATAATACCACCTTTCTCCATATGAGGGATCAGCAAGCTACAATGTATGGACCAAATTCAACCCACTGCTTGTTTTTTTAAGTAAACTTTATTGGAACACAGAAACTCACTCACTTATGCATTGTCTATTGATACTTTTAGGCTATAACAGATCTGAGTAGTTGTGTCAGAGACTGAATGGCTGGCAAAGCCTGAAATGTTTACTTTCTGGCCTTGTACAGAAAAAGTTGTTGATCCTGCTCTAGTTTAAAAAAAAAAATTCCTTTTATGTCTTTTCATAGTCCCATTTTATGATACCATTTTCCATCTTTGATCCATTTGGAATTTATTTTGGTCTAAGACTAGCAATCTATCCTTGTTTTTTTCCAGGTGGCTGTCCAGTTGTTGCAACCATTTAATGAAATATTCCATCACTTACTCTGTGATTTGAAAGGCTAACTTTTTCATATTCTACATTACCTTTTAATTTCTCCATTTTTAGACTTTATAATTTGTCCCAGTGATTTTAAAAAGAGAGGCAATTCCCTTGAAAATATTTTTTAGTTTTAAGTAAAATTTAGCATTTAAGAAAGACAGGAAGAAGAGCATTTAGGTAATCTTCTTAATAGTTATACAGGAAGTATATTTGTGCCAGGTGGTACTGAGAATAGATATATTATAAAAAGGGAAATTAATAATAAGTACAATTTTTGTGCTGTACAAAAATCACACTGCATTAAGTATAGCTCACATTTAAGTATTTTCACTTTTAAATTTGATTCTGAAGGAAAAGGCAACAAAAAAATAGAACTTTTAAAGTTCCTAGGCTTTGTGGGACTGATGATTTAAGTGTAGAGACTCACTATACAACTTTAGAACAGCAGTAATTGATGCTAACTTATGACTAAGCACATGATGATAAAAGTCCTAATAAAATATTTAAGTTGCTGATATTAATAATTTTTGCAAAATTAAGTTGGAACTTAAGGAGATTATATTTTATGGGCATGCCAACACTAAAGACTCCAAAAATAGATAAAAATGTTTAAACTGATTAATTGATGTCTTACATTTGTACTTCTACCATCCATGCTATTCAAGTTTATCTCTATCTCTATATATTCAGTATCACAAAAGCCAACACCAGTAAATTAACTTTTATATACATATATATATGTTTTTCCTTGTCTCTCTTAGCAAGAATCTAGCCTAGTTAATAACAAGGGGTTTTATGTTAAGAAACTACCACTACCCCTTCTTGCATTATTCCCTCTTAAAAAAAAAAGTAAAAGATGCATTAACTTGCTAATATTACATGCTCTTGGAAATTAGTATCAATGGTCCTTGGTCATGACATACATAAAAATGTGCTTTAAAATAGTCTCAAGTACACCTACATTCTTAAGAATGTGTCTTTGAAATAGTACCCTTTAACATCAATTATAGGGAAGTTTGGAAGCGGTAATATAAGAGGAAGAAGATGTTTCTCACCATCCTTCGGAGGCTGTGCTCCTGCTTCTGTAACTGCTGTTGGAGCCACCACGGACACAGGCTGCAAAACACACACACACACACACACCACAAAATCTTTAGCTTCAGCCACTCTGAAACTTTTGTCCTGCTACCTTTCTTCTGGCTTTTATAAAGGGCAGACAGAAAGGTAGTATGTGTGAAGAAACACTTATATCTAAGCAAGTTTTCTTGATTTTTAACAGCCTAAAAATAAGCCTCATGTAAAGAAAGACAGATTTCAAAGAAACTGAGTCTTGATCCTTCTATACTGCTTTCTTTTTTTTCTCATGGTATACTGTTAAGTATATCTTCAATAATCATAGAAAAACTAGTTTTAATCAGAACATTATTGTGTCACACACCTAAAAGGAAGAAGTTAAAACTTTAAAGTATAGTTTCCTCCAAATCTTTTCCAGTTACACAACTGGATCAGTGTTAATTTTTCATTAACCTGTCTCATTTCTGATGGCCAAAACAACCAACCAAAGACTAAATAGGCATTAAAGGCATTAATGGTCTAGGAATATAATATATTAGGAAAGATTTCATCAAGATTTTCAAAACTTACACCCACCGCAGATGTCACTGCAGCAGTCTCTGGACTAAGTGCCCTTCTCAACTGAGCATCAAGATCTTCCAGAGGTTGCTGAGACTGAATGAAAACAGCCACAGTAATTATACATTTTGGCATATTCAGAGTATAAATACCCCATTAATACAGAACATACTGTTTTATGCTTTCGACTGACCCATAACTTTTACACTTTGCTACAGTCTAAACATACATCTATCTTAGCTTTTATCAACCTATTCTTCTGTAGCATTTACTTATGCTCCTCCCTGTCTATATGCAAGCACTATCCACTTACCCTCACCCTTCCACGTCTTATTGCCGTTTCTCATCACACTTAAAGCCCTCTTAGAAATTTGAGCCCTGGCTGGTGCGGCTCAGTGGTTTGAATGCCAACCTACGAACCAAAGGGTCACTAGTTCGATTCCCAGTCAGGGCATGTGCCTGACTTGCAGGCCAGGTTCCCTAGTGAGGGATGTGTGAGAGGCAACCACACATTGATTTTTCTCTCCCTCTCTTTCTCCCTCCCTTCCCCTCTGCCTAAAAAAATAAACAAAATCTTAGAAAAAACCAGAAATTTGAATATATGTTTTTAATGAGAAAATAGATTTAAAACTCCTAATTTACAGAGTTCCACAATGCAATATTTTTCAAACCTTAGTGGTTGATAGAATGGGTTCTCTTTTGGAGTTATTACTTTATTATGGAGAGTTCATGACATTAGGTTTTACTGTATATTTGGGATTAAAGAAGCAGAGATAAATTTAGACTTCTCAAACTAGCAATTTACTATGTTTTTCTTATTTATGATTCTAAAACTAAATTATTTTAGTTTTAAAATTTCCTAATTTAGTTTTAATGTTTACTAGCTTGACCCACCCAGAAACTTTTTATGGTTACAATGGATGCATAATGAATACTTCCTATTGGAATTCAACTCTATGTGTGGGGTGGTAGGGTAGAGTGGGAAAGGGAAAAAGAATTTAAATACTGCAGGCAGTTCTGACCACTATTATATCAAATGGACAGAAATAAGCTTGAGATAGGAATCTCACATTCATGTCACTGATCTCAGCTCCTCTATGATGAATCTCATGTTAGCTGAGCTGTGTGATTTTTGTATTTAAAGACAAATATATACAAGGGGGAATCCCCAAGAAAATGAAATGATCTTCTAGAGGGCAGGCCCCTTGTAGTACAGGTTTCCCCCATGAGGAGGGTGTTCTGGGAACCCATCTGTATCAGTGCACCAGCTGGCGTTACTGTGAGAAGCTGTGTTCAGCCTCAGTGAATTTTTTTGAAGACCCTTTCAATGCATTTGCCCATTTCATGATGGGTGATTTACGAGTGCACCTGCCCTCACCACACTCAGACATTTTTTGACTAAAGAAGGCACGACCCCTGTGCCCTATCCTCCGTATTCATCTGATCTCACCACAAGTGACAATTTTTTGTTCCCTGGATAAAAAGTCCTCAAAGGGAAACATTTTGCTGATGTGAAAGAAGTGAAACAAAAAATGGCAGAAACACTAAAAGGCGTCAAAATTGAGTTAAAAAACTGTTTTGAGCAGTAGAAAAAAACATCTCAATAGATGTATTGATTCAAATGGAGAGTACTTTGAAGGTGACTGAAGTTGAAACATGTAAGAATAGACAATTTTTACTAAGTTCCATTTTTTGTCCCCCATCCCATATCTTTCATGAAACATCACCCTTATACCTACCTATATCTAAGCCAATTACTTAATTAGGTGGTCATTGCAAGAAATGTCAAACTCAAGAAAAAACTGGTTGCACTGAACTCATAGAAGAAGGGTGTTATCAATTAGTATGGTATCCTTTCCTAGGGAACTTTCAAAGTTACTTTTGTTTACATGTAATTCTTTACTTCCATGATGGTCTAGAATGACTTAGTTCATATTTAAGATGCAATCTCATTATTCTACAAAAGTATGAATGAGAGAAGTTACATTTGTCTGGCAAAATGTCAATTTGGCTATTTTCTTCCTTTGTAAGATACAAAAAATATTAAATGTTTTCTAGATTACTTGAAGCAACATTATAAACAAAAATAATGCAAAGCTTCTCACTTTAAATACGGCTTGGGTCAGTTAGCTTCACTGTTAAAAGAAAAGCTGTTACAAAGTCAAAACCAAATAGAAGCCAGAAGCCAAGATCCCACTGTGGAGAATTTAAATAAGCTTTGTGAAAGAAAAGAATAGGGTTACAAAAAGAAATCTGCCAAGTCTTGGGGCACCTGAGTTAGTGATGGTCCTGGAAAAGGTGGCTGCTGCTCACTGGATGGAATACCAGCTGGAAGTTCAGTACCCAATGGCAGCACCTATCAACAACAAAGGGAAATTCAAGTCCATGAGACTCTAAGAGTAAACACTGAATACTGGAGAACAGATCAACTCATTCAAATGCAGAAGCATAAGAATAAATATATCTAGTTAAGGCATACTTGTCACCTGGGTTATGCTCTGGTATCTATAAATAGAGGACCTTATAACCATGATGCTATTATAGGGGTTACTATGACATATCAATAAAATGAATAGTAAAATTTAGTAAGAGGTTATTTTCCAGGGAAAATGGAGGGAACAAATGTCTGAACTTTCACAAAGTCCAGACATTTGTGAACCAATGACTTGGTTCAATTAGGCTTTTCCAAAAACAAGACTTTTCTGAGAAAACAAAACAGTTCAGAAATAACCAAGGTGCTGGTATGGTAACAAAAAACTTCATAAGTCCAGTATTATCAAGCAATTTTTTTTTTTTTTTTTTGCCTGAGTGAAGCCTCTACATTACCCTACTGTGAAAAGAATCTCCCACCAATGGCAATGCATAACCACAGCAGAAAAAAGTACAGCCTTCTTACTGAAGAAGATCGGAGACTGAAAGACGGCAGAATGAGAGAAATCCACTATGACAGAATTAGAAAACACATTCTAGTTATTTTATTCCTAGGATTAGATTCTTTTCTCATCCTATGTATTAAATTCACCAACAACTTCCAATTTTTTATAGACCCCATATTGTACATCTGTGGAATCTAAGCAAAGCAGAAAATTATCTTCATTCTCACTGAAACAAAGATTATGAACTACTGTTACTATACACAATTGCCAGCAGAAGCATTAAGCTCTCTTCTGGGAAACAGATCCCTTTAGTTTGGACCATTTAGGAATAAATGCTTGTAATTTTATTGTACTTGTAATGCTTGGCCTGATTATTATAAATTCTTAGAAAATCATGCAGTATAACTAACCCAAAAATCCCGCCATATTTCAAAAGGAAAAATCTCTCATGTTCAATGTATATATATCCTACAATCACCTCCAATCAATTTATTTAATAGCAAGTGCCTACTATCAGCCATTTTTATAAATTCATTTGTAATCTGCAAAGCTGAGTTGAAAGAATACAATTAGAATAAAAAAGTGATATTTATCAAATTATTTCAAAACAAAATCTTACTGGAGCCTTAGTTAAAGGTGGCTTTGATGGAACAGTTCCAGGTTTTGCTCCTGCTGTAGTGCTGACTGGGGTAGAAATTTGCCCAGGTGTGACCACTGGTATAACGGGCAAACCAGTTGTTCCCAATGGCAAACTAGTTGGTGGTAAGCAAGTACTTGTAGTTGAAGTCATGAGTTTGCTGGGTGCAACAGCAGTGGTTGGGATGCCTGGTGTGACATTGGTCTCTACTACTAGTGATGTCTCCAATGAAACAGAGGCATGTTGAGTTCCAGATGTGCTGTGTTCACTAAAGAGAGACCGCAGTTTTTCTTCTAGAGTCTTTATGTCATCAATGCCAGCTTTGGATTGTTGTGTATCAACATCTATTTCAGGACAGTGTGTATGAGGCTGGTTGGGAAGCAAAGCCGGCTGAGGCTGACTATGAATTAGTGTCTGCTGTACAGCAGGCACATTGGCAACAGGCTGTACCAAGGGTGGGACACTAGGTACTGGGGGTAATAAAGGTGTAGAAGTAGGTCCTGCTGCTTGGGAAAGGACAGGAGCAGGAGCTACAGCTGAGGGGGTGACCAAAGGATGCACCCCACCAGATTGAGAAATAGAACTAGATACTAGGGCTCCAGGGGAAGAAGAGGAAGATGATGCAGAGAGGGATAAAGCCAATCCAGTTGTACTGCTATGAGATGTTTTATCAAGTGAGTGTGCACTAACCACCACTGTTTCAGCTAGAGTAGGAGCAGAGGTGCTGCTGCTGAGCTGAAGAGATGGCTGTGAAGCAATGCTTGGGAATGGAGTGGTGGCAGAAATTGAGGTTAATGAGGCTGCCCCTGAAGTACTGCCTGCTGACTGCTGAGATAATACAGGTGAAGGCTTAGCCTCTGGGGCAGCAGCACTGCACACTGCAGAGGCTGAAGTTGTTGAAACTGGTACGGAGGGGAAAGTGCCTACACTAGAAACAATGCTCCCAGATGTGGGAGCCTGAACTGACTGGGATGTTGCTGATGTTGAGATAACAGTAGGTATTGTGATGCTTGAAACCACGCTGGAAAGTACTGGTGATTCAGACGCAGGTGGTATAGAGAGAACACTTGAAGTTACACCTGTACAGGTGGCAATCCCTTTTTCAGTGGGCACGGTAATCTCAGATTGAACTACTGATGTGGAAATGTCATTAGGACAACTAGTTATAGGAACTGAGGCTGAAGGTGTGGTTCCTGCTATGGTTGGGACTCCAGCTATGCTACCCATGGATGGAGGCACTACTGGAAATGTTGGTCCTGTATGACTAAAATTGGGAGGTGCTGTATTGGGTCCTTCTGTCATCTGGGCATTTTTAAGTTCAGAAAAGGCCTGCTGTAGACTAAGGGATGAAGCAGAGTGAGACAAGTTCATTCCAGCAGCATGAGACGTAGAGGCGGCAACTACAAAGGAAAATACAAATTTCAGAATCAGTCCATTTTAAAAGGGTGAATTCAAAAGATTGTCCTAACAATCTATTTTTGGATTACCACCAATGTGACATACCAATAAGGTTTAAAACCTTTCCCAAGGAAATGACAAGCTCTAAAACAGCAAAGTAGTTTGATCAAAATATAAGATAGCATGTACACGAAGTAACCTCAAAGCACGTACAATAGTACTAAATGGAGAAACAAACACATACTGCTACATCCACACAGTGTCTATTACGGGGACTGTATCTAGCTATGGTTCTCCTTTTTGGCTCTTTTTCTTTAATCTTCTCTCTTTATCACCTACTTCCTTCATATGTTTGTTGGTTAGAATCCCAATTTTTCTACTCTTCTTTATTGTCTATGTCATCACAGACAATAAACTACTGCTAATGACCAAGCTTCCAATACAGCATACATGCCGCAGAATTTATAAATAATGCAATCGAAGCAATTCCTTACCCGTATCTGATATTTCACTGGTGAAAACTTTAGACTCTCGTAATCGACTTTCTGGCACAGGACTTACTATAAACCGTCTTCCAGCAGAATGAACAACTTGAGTTAAAGAACTGGTAGAAATGCCTGGTTTAAGAGAAATAAACCACTTAATTGCATTCTTTTTATATTGCCATTGACATGAATCTTCAAGATTTCATTATTAGCACACAACTTCTTTGGTCAAAGGTAAGAGCAAACATGGAAAGAAAAGAAATTCACCTATTTGCTGTGGCATGGAAGATGCAGGAAGTGGTTGTTTGAATTCTCCTTCCAATTTCTACAACAAGCAAAAGAATTCAATTCATTCTCAAAGGCAAATTTAATTAGGCAAAGCAAAGTGCCACATGCAAAGAGAACATATATGTTTGATTATCTCAGAGGTGTGACGATATCACTGGATATTTTGCATGGCAAATTTAGCACTATGGTAATATTTTAAATAAACAAGCCTTCACTATGGGAATGGTGAACCTACTTGAGAACCTGAAAAGCCGTAGTCATCCTTTCCCTGTAGACTCTCCAATCCCTGGTCACCCTCTGGTTCCACACTGACATCCTCACTGAGCATTTCATCAGCTTTTTCAATAATTTCCCGCACTTGATCCACAAAAGACTCTCTCTCTATTGCTAGGATAAAGTCATTGTTCACCTGTAAAAGAAATCTGATGTCAGTCTGATTAATACAATATTTCTCAAGCTTTAAGTCATTCAATCACCAATTTCATGACTTCTGCCCTATCTGCATACTACCGATATTTTTATTTACTTGATATGAAAGTTAGTTCTTTAATACCTAGTGAGACATGTCCTAGACAAAAATATCCCAAATCACAGGTTTAGTGTATCAGTTATATTCACATTGAATCAAATGTGTAACTGTCAAAATAGATGACAAAATATTGCATATTTGCCTAGGGCACTGGATATTTAGATCAAATACTAAGGCAAAATTGGAACTCCAAACACAGACATACCATAATTGTTGCTATTTCCTCAGGGTTATCGCCATCTAAATCAAATTTGAATGTAACCATTTTCCGATTGTGAGTTTCCAACTGACATTCTACTACCCGGTCTCCTTTATTTGAAACCTAAAACAGAAAAAAAGAAGCGGTATTTCATTATCTCAGAAGACCATATTCACCTTGATTACTGAATTTGAGAAAGTAAAGCAGATTATCACTTGAACTTTAAGCCTGATGTTACCACTGTTCCTGTCACTGGTATTCTGCTTCTTAAACTGGTAGCAAGAAAACCTTAAGAAAATATCAGCCTTCGAGATACATACTGATCTTCTACTGAAGAGTCTAGAAGAAATGTAAAGTTTTTGTTTTACAAACTATAACTGTTCTTTCTCTGAAAGGTTCATAGAAATATGGAATTTAACAGTATCACATGAGTGATTAGAATAGCCTAAAGCCTTATCAATACACCTGAACATTAGAAATATAGAAATAAGTTCCAGTCAAGATGGAGGCCTAGGTAGACATGTTTCGCCTCCTCAAGCAACCAGAGAGAATTACAACTAAACCTCGAAACAAATAACACCCAGAACTGTCAAAAACTCAAAGTGCATGGAAGCCTGACAACTAAGGATTTAAAGAAGCCACATTCATCAACAACAGGCCATGCTACAAAGACAGGGAGTAAAAGCAGCTGTACCTAATACATAGAAACAAACACAGGGAAGCTGCCAATTGGGAACAAAGAAATATGGCCCAAATGAGAGAACAGAACAAAACACCAGAAAACGAACTAATCAAAACCGAGATAAGCAATCTATCAGATGCAGAGTTCAAAATACTGGTGATCGGGATGCTCAAAGAATTCATTGAGTATGGTTTAAAAAAAAAAGGAAGAAAGGAAGGTGAAATAAAGAAAATTTATAGGGAACCAACAGTGAAGGGGAGGAGGCTGGCATTCAAATCAATGATTTGGAACAGAAAGAAGAAGTAAGCATTCAACCAGGACAGCAAGAAGAAACAAGAATTCAAACAAAGGAGGATAGTATAAGAAGCCTCTGGGACATCTCCAAAGGTACCAACATCCGAATCAGAGGGAAGCCAGAAGGAGGAGAGGAAGAGCAAGAAATTGAAAACTTATTTGAAAAAATAATGAAAGGAAACTCCTCCAATTTGGCAAAGGAAATAGACATATAAACCCAGGAAGCACACAGAGTGCCAAACAAGATGGACACAGAGAGGAGCACACCGAGACACATCATAATGAAGATGCCAAGGTTAGAGAGAGAATCTTAAAAGTAGCAAGAGAAAAGCAAAGAGTTACCTACCAAGAAACTTCCATAAGACTATCAGCTAATTTCTCAAAAGAAACCTTGTAGGCAAGAAGGGACTGGCAAGAAGTATTCAAAGTCATGAAAAGCAAGGACCTAGAACCGAGATTACTCTACCCAGCAAAGTTATCCTTTAGAATAGGACAAACAGAATGCTTCCCAGACTAGGTAAAGCTAAAGGAATTCATCATCATGAAGTCAGTACTACATGAAATGTTAAAGGACTTATTTAAGAAAAAGAAGATCAAAACCTTGAACAGTAAAATGACAACAAACTCACAACTATCAACAACTGAACCTAAAAAACAAAAATAAAGACACACAAACTAAGCAAACAACTAGAACAGGAATGGAATCACAGAAATGGAGATTAGATGGAGGGGGTGGAGAAAGAATGAGAGAAAAGGTACAGAGAGAAAGAAGCATAAATGGTAGGTACAAAGTAGACAGAGGGTGATTAAGAATAGTATAGGAAATGGAGAAGCCAAAGAACTTGTATATATGACCCATGGACATGAACTAAAATGGGAGGGGGGAATGCTGGAGGGAGGGGGAGTGCAGGATGGAGGGGTATAAAGGTGAGAAAAAAACGAGACAACCATAATAGCACAGTCAAAAAAATAAAATAAAATAAAATAAAATAATTTAAAAACCCCCCTAAGCAAACAAACCATACCACGAACAGAATATAGATATTGAGATCATTTGGAGGGTTATCAGCTGGGAAGGGCAAAGGGGGGAAAGAAGGAAAAGGTGTAGGGATTAAGAAGTGTACTTGGTAGATACAAAATAGACAGGGTGATGTTAAGAACAGTATAGGAAATGGAGAAGCCAAAGAACTTATATGCACAACCCACAAACATGAACTAAGGGGCAGGGGCATTGTTGGGGGAAGCGGGGTACTGGGTGGAGGGGAGCAAAGGGGAGAAAACTGGAACAACTATAATAGCATAATCAATAAAACATTTCAAAATAGAAATATTTAAATAATATTAACTATATGAAACCCACAAATTAGCAATACTTACATTTAAAATTCTCAATTTTGGGCGTGAAGTCTTTTCATGACGAGAGCGACTTCTCACAGATTTTCGATAATGCCGTTTTGTAGTTCTCCCTTCATGCCTTCCACTGGATGATGGGACATTCTCATTGCCATCGCTCATACCTGAAGCAACATCTGAATGTGCACTTCAAAAAAAAAGTTGTTTACAGTATGAGATTTAAGGTTTGTATTTTGAAGTTTCATGCCATCCTACCTACCAGTTGAGGATAGAGAAATTTACTTTTACATACCTGTCTATAGAAGAGACCACAGTGGCAGGCTGGGTAGGTTGTGGCTGTGCTACTGGAACTGGCTCTGGAGGAGCAATCTGAGAGACTCCCTGAGTACTCTGTGAATAAAAAGAATAATTCAAATCTTGGTAGTAATAGAGTTTATTTATTATTCACTATTCCAAAAGCTACTCATTTTTTTCTTATTCCCCATCCCTCCAAGTCCTAGAAGCACTAAATTTACTAGTAATTCTTAATACTCAGCATCTAGAGACTGTGGTCTTAAAATTCCAAAGGAAGTTTCTAAAGCTAGTCTCTGATATAGACTGCATGTGTGATATCAGCCAACATAGTTGCTATGTAGTGAGAAACTACAATTTGCCATGCAGCCAGCATCTTACCAGAAGTGTGCAATAGGGCAGGCAGAGCAAAGTGCAAAGATGATTCAGATCTTTCTCCTAGTAGGGCAAAAATGATTACTGGGAGCACAGCAGGATAAGATATTCTTACGACCGCCAATGGCAAGAATTTGTGAAAGGAGAAGAATAATGGCTAAAGTACTAGCTAGAGAAGTGAAGTGCTAATAGGGTTAATCTTCTCCAAGGCACACTCACTTCCCAACAGAACAGCCAGTGGCAACAAGGCCCCCACATTGGCATTTCATTCTGCTGTAAGAAAAAGTCATTCAGAAGTTAGTTTGAAATTGTCTTCAAAGTTCAAAACCAGGGAACCTCTATTTCTCCTTTGTAATTTTTATCCCATTATATATTTATATATATATGATATGAACATGCAGAAATTCCATTTACCTCCAGAGCTGCTTGCTGGGAGGATGTAGTGGGGGCTTGTGCTAAACTCACTGCTGGTTGGGACACTTGAACCTGTCCTCCTATACTGCCCACAGGAACTAAAAGATTTGATTCCATGTAAGGCTGCACCACTGTAGGAAAGTAACCTGGTGTAGCTAATGCTTCTGTGGGCATGGGAGGGGATAAGACTGTAGAAGGGATGCAAACAGAAGCCACGCTGGAAGAGGGAGCAATATTTGCATCTCCTGGGTATTGTGGTGGTAGTCGAGATGGAAAGCCCTGTGATAGAAATGAGGAAGGTGAGTTAGTGCAGGTTGGGTCATCAAATTAGCAAAACAGCAAGACATGCCAAAAAAAAAAAAAATGCACACAGCAAAGAAGAACAGTAGTAGCCCAATCTTTTTCTAATAATTTAAAGAAGACTTAAATTTGATTCTTGAAATGAAATGGTACACTGATTATAATTTAGGGGACAGAACTCTACACTATACTTTAAATTGCTAGGTTTTTCCTCCTAAAATTATTTAAATAGGAGGAATAGACATAAGTCCTTTTAGAAAAATATCTGCTTTCTAGCCAATCTTAAGCGGGAGGATGCAAAAACTCTTCAAGGTGTTAGTCATTCTAGTCATATCATGACTTGCTCGTCTTCTAAATTGAAACCCTGAAGCTTTTTATTGATACCATGTTGGCTACTCCATTTATTCTTTTTATTAGAAAAGCAGCCTGATACACTCTTTTAGTAGCCATATTTAGCATTCAATTAGCTTATACTGAGTTTTAAGAGAAATATTTATCTCCCAAGAAGTGTCATGGAAAAATAGAAATGAATCATTATACATTATCACCCTATCCTTTCTCAGAATTTTACTATTTTAACTTCTCTAGGTGAGATCAACAATTATTATTATTGCTAGTTATTCTGATATCCAATTACTAGATTTTCACAACCTTGATGGTCTACTACTAGAACCAAACCCTCTGGTGCCCTCTTTTTTGCTAGCCAACACAATACCTGGTACAGAACATCTCCAGAGGGAAGTGGAACCTCAGCAGCTTGTCCAAGGTTAGCTGGTATTCCCATGGACTGAACTGCTGGCTGCAGGAGCTGTGGGTGAACCTGACTTGGCAGCTGAGTCACAGGCTGCAGGAGGGTTGGAAGCTGACTAGAAGCCACAGTTGATCCCCCTGGGATCGCAGCTGCTGTAGCTGATGAAGCCAAGGTGAGCAGAGGCTGATTAATGCCAGCTGCAATTGTGATGGGAAGGGTTGAGAAGCCTGTCTGAGTCGCAGACACATGAGGAGCCGATATAGGAATTTGAGAGACAGGGTACTGAGGGAGTAAGGAAGTAGGGAGTGGCTGTCCCATAGGGAGAAAATGAGCACCAGAATGGACTGGAACAACTGAGGGTTGTGTTGCAACTGGGATCTGAGGTTCGCCTTGGATAGTTGGTACTGGCTGGGAAACTGGAAGCTGAGAAGGTAAAGAACAACAAAACAGACAGATTTAAAAAAAAGAAAAAGCAAGGCAACCAAAGCAAGATTTATGTATTAGCCAAAAAGGATGAAAATTTAAAAAATGAAACCCCGAATACATTAGTGTAAGTTAATATGCCACATAAAAATAGAGAAAGGAGAGAAGGATATAAAGAGGCTGACAGACTGTTCCAAATCTTTGTAGAAAAGTTTGCTAATGCTTCATTGTTCAACAACAAAAAGTGGACCCTTTCACAGGCGAGATTTTTTAATAGGTTTTGTTGAAATATATTTCCCAGACCATAATTCATTGGCATGTCTGCTGTCATTAAATCTATGACTACTATTATAATAGTTACCAAAATTCAAATAAATTTATTTCTTTTTTCCCAATGGAATTAGATTTTATCCACATTGCCTGTAACACAGGCCTACAAAAGTAGGTATAATTAACATATTTCATTGATTCTAGGATGCAATCATCCCTCAACACCACCTTGTCATTTTAACATTTGTGAACCTGATACAATTAATGGTGTGTCAGTACTCAGTGATACATAATATAATGGTGCATTTTACAATTGATAGTATCTCAGCAATAACAGTATGACAGAAACAACACAGTGTGCCAAAATAGAAGCACAAGCCCCAGTGTTAAAGCTGAAAAAAGGGCACTCAAAAGAGCCTATCTTTATCTAATAGGGCATTTTTCAAGTGATTGGAAGACATCTTAGAAAAAACACCATTCCATATAAGGAGTTTTTATGACTTACTGTCAGCAGAGGCAATGAGGGATAAAACAATGCATAAATCTGCATGAAAATATAGCACAGCTACAGACCTGGATACTAGATATAGGTGGCACAATTCTCAATGTCATAGGTTCAGTTACCAAAGCACAGTTACTGATTCATCAGTTCTAATTCTTGTCAAACTGATTTTAGAATAATAAACCTAAAAGCTAGGTTTTTAGACTGCATACTTTTTTAGATTGCCATTGCTCTCAGCATGTATCCATTTACATTAAGCGATGCATATGCACAAAAGGAGCAATTTACCACTTCATTTTTTTGCAGAAAAAAATAACTTCAGTATTTCACCATTAGAGAAGGTAGAAGCCTATCCATAAGAAGGGACAGATTATGTGGAGTTCCCTTTTAACATACTTTTAGAAATTAAGTATTTACCTGTTTTCCAGCTGATACTTGAGGCAAGACCTGTGGGGCTTGAGGCTGACTCACTGGCTGTACAGTAGTAGCCTCACTAGAGGCTGATGTCTGTGGAAGTGAATACTGTACTGTCTGCTGAGGAGGGGCTGTCTGCTGTATTCCCTGCTGCTGAGAAGAAAATATAATTGTTCAGTTTTATTTCAAGTAATTAATAGCATGTTTTTGACAAAGTATGTTTGCCTGAGTCCTTTAGTGTCTGTAAATAATAGTAATTTTAGTAATCAAGACATACACAAACTCAAATTCATCAATTCCCCTTTATATTTCTCTTTTCCTCTGGTGTTCTTTACTTATGATGGTACCACCAAGAACCAATGTTTCACAACGTGAGTCACCACTGGTCCTTCACCCAGCATTCCCTCTTGCCCCAAGGGCAGGTCATTTATAAAGTTCTTCAAATATCATATCCAGACAGGTCCTCCCTCCTCCCACCCATTTTTCCTCTTTCTTGGTATCAACTCTTACTTTGGTTCTCCACTGAAATTAATCCAATGCCCTCCTTCAATCTTTTTCCATTAATCTATTTTACAAACTATAATCAATTTGCTTGAAAAATAGCTCTGATTATAGCTCCAAAATAAGTGAGAAAAAGTATTGTATTTGGAATTTTTGCTTTGTCATTTACTAGATGTAATACCTTAGAGATCATTCATTTTAATGTCAAAATGACATGCCCTTCTTTGAAAATAAGGACACTGTCATTCACACCGAGCAGGACAAAGAGAAGAACACTTGAGAATCAAACCATGTGCTGGGCACTCTGGTGTAACACACCTAAACTTAATGCAGATAAATAACTGTACCCAAATCCCAAAATTTTTGATAAATTAATGGCTCCCTTTGGCATAACAAAAATCTGACCTTCATAGCTGGCTCTCAAGACTTTCTAATACTTATAACTAACAAAAATTGTAATATAAAAATACTTGTTTGTAATAAATATTTTAACCAATACATCAGATTATAAAGCTAAAGTAAAAATACCCCAACCTCATTTTTCAGTGGCAACCACTATTAGTAGTTCAGTGCCACACCTTTACAAAATTATTTTGTATGTATAAATGGTCATTTACACACAAGCACATTTTAGGTATTTTGTTTATTAAAACAAAAACATGCCCATTATATAAATACTGTTCTCTAACACATTTTCACTTCACTTATCAATGGCATCAATGTCCTAATGATGAATAATTTGGTTATTTTTTTAGCAAAATAAAATCACCAGTGATCATGTTCATTTTATTCTTAATTATTTCTGATAATGTAGTCTTATTTCTTAAAAAAGATTTTCTTTATTTACTTTTAGAGAGATGGGAAGGAGGGAGAAAGAGAGGGAGAGAAACACTGATGTGCGAGAGATGTATCAATCGGTTGCCTCTCTCAAGCCCCCAACTGGGGGACCTGGCCTGCAACCCAGGCATGTGCCCTGACAGAGAGTCAAACCAGGTATCTTTCATTTTGCAGGCTGGCACTCAATCCACTTAGCCACGCCAGCCAGGACAACTGTTATTTTTATTTTAACTCAAAAAAAAAAAAATAGGGAACAAATGGCTGCTGAATTATTTAAAATTTATTTTCAGCAAGTAAGATATAGCATATGTGTAACAACTACAACAAAACTCTGAATGTAAGAAAATTTCCCCAGTTTCCCACTGAAAAGAACAATGAAAAACTGGAAAACCTTTTTGGTCAACTTGACTATACTTAAGCTTTAAGGAATTCACATGAAAATACCTAAAATTATCTAAGGCATTAATTTACATATATAAGTAAGATTGCATATTATATAAGTACAGTAATTTAGAAATACCACTTCCCCCTCCATCATTAAAACTCTTCACATGTAATATATCAGTGGAGCAATATACTCCAGTGTTCTGGAGCCTTACATAACACTTTCCCTGTGTCTTGAGGTAAAATTTTCAGGGAGAGTTGAGTTTTGTTTTTTTTTTGCATTTGTCATATAGATTCACATGCATGTTATCTTTGTATTAACTCCTTAAAGTAAATAAGTTGTTTACAATGACATATAAACCTCGAATAGTGAAGGTTTGACCTGGAATACCATTCTCCTAAGAACCAAATTTATGTTTAGTTTCCTGACTTTTATTTCAAAACCAATTCTGTTAGATGCTGTCTGTAAACATTTCCAACCACATACATTATTTTTAAGGCCCTTCTTTACATTTGTTCTCACTGGTTTTATTAATAGTTTTGGTTATTGTTCAAAATAAAGAACACTGAGAGTCCTGTGATATGAAAGCATGATCAAAGCTTTAATGCATGGTGATTCCCTTCTTTGCTAAGAGAAAAGGATAAATTTGAGAACAAATACCAACTTTTATTTGGGCATAGGATTCTCTCTCTCTGTCTCCCCCACAACCCCAAACCCCATGAATGCGGAACAATGCTTACATCAAGATTTGGACACAATTGGCTCATTCCTTTTCTTTTGGCTGAGAATAATCTCTATTTTTCTATCTGAGACTAACTCATAATCAGAGTCTAGTTCAAATGATATCTTTTTCACAAAGCATTCCTGATATCCCCCTTCCTGCTAGGAAGTGAGGTAATGCCATAAGTGGGTAGCAGTTAAATGGTGAGTTGTGGATTTGGACTACTGGGATTAAATTCTGTGTCTACCTCTTATAAGCTATATAAGCTTGGGTAAATCACTCAGCTTCTTCAAATTTCATCTCAGCTTTCCCATCTGCACAACAATAGTACCTACACTTACAGGATTCAGTAAGGATTAAATAAAAATACAGGTTAGTGTTTTGTACATTGTATATGATGTTGGCCATTATCCTTACTTGTTTTGTAGGAGTTAACATATCTGGTCCATCTTGGGCCAGGGCCAAGACTTTGGCTCTTCAGAGCATGAACTCAATTAGGAAAAAAACTCCTTAAATAGCTGAGTGGGGATGCATGTGCATGTGTGTGTGTGAGAACAGTCAAAGATGAATAGTTTTATATACATAAACCCTCACTCTTTGCTTAAAATAATTGAGAGCCATGCATGCCAATTGTACCTTAGAACATTTAGGGAGAAGTGGCTCCTTTGAATAGGCCAGCAGTATATGGTGATTGTTTCTGGTGTACAATCACACTGGCTGATAATCAATATATCAGCCAACGAGGTACTGTTTAGCACACTACCTTGGCACCAGCTTTGCTCATGAAACTAGTTTAAACCAGCCTATTCTGACTATGTACTATCTGTTGAACATGGGTACTAGGTTAAAAAAATATTCATGAGCTCAATTGAAGAAATGATTAAGTAGTGTAGCTCATGAGCTTTCTGTGGAAACAAAGTTTTCTAGCAGGAAGAAGAAACTCTTTTTGGTACCTCATCGAGATACAGCATACAACTAGAAGGGACTCAATAAAAAATACGAAAAAAGCAATCCTGTAATTCATTGTATTTCAAAAACCCATGAAACAAAGTAAATTTCAGCCAAAGTAGATTTCTTGACTCACTCTAATAAAACTAGACATAGTTTCCTAAGGGGTTGAGACCTGACCATTGTAAAACAAAAATTACACCTAAAAATAGGCTCTATCCATATAGTACATGAGGTTTACAATCTTTTGTTTTTATTTATGGAAGCCCCGTAGCTAAAATAAATAAATGTAGCTTCTTGGGTACTTGCAGAATCTTAAGTCCCTACAGAACTTTAATAGAGAAGAAAGAACACTATTCTAGAAATCTTGAATTCTGCCTTGTAATTTTTAGTTCTATCCACTTACAAGGCTATATGACTCTAGAAATGTGGTCTAGACCACATATACTTGGCTCAATTTAGTGACTCTAAAACAGGTCACAGCCCTGGCTAGTGTAGCTCAGTTGATTGAGTGTGGACTGGGAACCAAAGGATTGCCGGTTCAATTCCCAGTCAGGGCACATGCCTGGGTTGTGGGCCAGGTCCCCAGGACGGTGTGCACAAGAGGCAACCACACATTGATGTTTCTCTCCTTCTCTTCCCCTCTTTTTAAAAATGAATAAATAAAATCTTTTAAAAAATAAAAATAAATAAAATAGGTCACAAAATAAAAGTTATCTAAAAAATCATAAACAAAATTAATTTTGTTTGTACTGTTTGATAGCCATTTAGCCATATTTTTTTTCCCAGAAGAGTCAACTAACCTAATTCTTTTGATCTGACATTTATGGGATTATCCTCCATTATTCCTGCATACTTTTCTCACCACTGAACTCAATGACATTGTTTTATTGTCTTCTTTATTTGGTACTAAGTATGTATGTATATGTGCTGAAATATAATAAGATATACAGGGTCTAGCACAAATAATGCCCCCTTTTTATTACAAAATCATAAGCATGTAATTCTGTAACATAACAATATCACACTCAAACATATCATACGACATTTTAGTTGAAATGTTCAAATTGCTGTCCATCCATCGCAAGACATTCATGTACCCACCAACCCTACTCAAGCAAGCCTTACTTATGCCGGACTCTGTAGAACAAATTACCTTGGAACAGAAAAAACAGAGTACATACCTTGATTTGCTCAGTTTATTGGAGTTTGCTCTGTGTCCAAAGACACACAAATTAAGAGAATGGTATTCATGACAGTGCTCTTCCTCAATCAGCTTTATATAACTTTTAATTTGATTTATTTTTACATTTTTATTTATTGATTTTAGACAGAGGAAGGGGGATGGCGGGGGAGAAAAACACCAATTTGTTGTCCTACTTATTTGTGCATTTATTGGTTGATTCTTGTATGTGCCCTGACCAGGGATCAAACCCTCAACACTGGCTTATAAGGATAATGCTCTAACTAACTAAGCTACCTAGCCAGGGCTTAGTTTGTCGTCTTATTGGGAGTTGTTAATTAAATTAAACTAGAATTTAAGGTTGACAAAAATATGACTATTTGCCCTGGCTGGGTGGCTCAGCTGGTTGGAGCATTGTCCCATACACCAAAAGGTTGCGCGTTCCATCACTGGTCAGGGGACATACCTACGTGGTGGGTTGAATCCCCAGTCAGGTCGTGTGCTGGAGGCAATCAATAGATGTTTTTTTCTCTCCCCCTTCTACTCTCTTTAAAAATAATTAATAAAAACATATCCTGGGGTAAAGGTTAAAAAAATGTGACTATTCAACTTAACTATAAATATATATACATTTGAATACATGTCTGGAAGAAAGGACAGGAGCAAGACAAAGCATATAATTCTCAGCCCTTAAATTCTGTAAGATAGAGGTGTTGATCACAAGGTTAAATGTATGTATAACCAAACTCATCTTTCACAAGGAACATCTGATCTTAAACTAGTCTCTTACGACTACATGATCACATGCTGGACCAAAAGCAGGCAGTTTTTAACTTTAACGTTAATAAATATTCCATTGTGCCAAAAAGCATTATTCCCATGCAAATAATTAACTAATATTGGCAATGAATTATAAACAGTTAATTTTAGAATTACCAGTGTTACTGTTAAGCACATCAGCATTGTACTAAACTCTTAAGTTCCTTGAACCTTTGGGAACAAACTCTCCAAATCAGAAGTTTAAAAACAAATTTTTACGTTTCTGAAGTAGTTGTTCTTGGGCTTTCATCCAGTGCTTCTTAATATAAAGTCTGATATTCCATCCCACAAATTAGAAGTAATTTGAAAGGAATGTAGTGTCCTCAGAGTCCAGCACAACGAAAGCAATGACAAAATGCTCTTAAAAGAACAAGTCATAAATGTAAGGGGAAACAAAATTGATATTCTTTGTATTATTAAGTTATGTATAGAATTACCTGTTTAAGGCAGGTAAATTATATCAGTAACAATTATTCTTTTAAATTTTAATCTATGTCTAATCTAGTAAATTGTTCAAAAATACATTAAACAAGAGATTTTCTAAAATGTTACTCAACACAATACATGTTATGCCTCTTGATTTTCCTTTCAAAATTTAGCAAGCTATTTACATTAGAAATCTAATTCAAGAAAAATGTAAAACCGTGTATTGGTTATATCTAATCCATACAATGTAGCAATGAGTTGTTCTCACCTGCTGAGAATGTTGTATGGTTTGGGAAGATGAAACCCCTGTTACGCTACTTGAGGATGGCTGACCCTGGCTCTGCCCCTGCACCTGAAGGAAAGAAATAAATACAACAAATTAGATAAGCCCTAAAGTAAGTGTACAGAGAGTTTAGGCTTTTGCAATAAATATTAAGATCCTGAGAGTTTGCTGAGTAAGACGAAACATTAGCTTGATAAAGTATATATAGAAGAGACCGTTGGGGCATCTTTTATAAGAAAAGGTTAGAGAAGAACATTTTCTTACCCCATGCAAAACTCCTGATAGTTAAAACCTAATCTACCACTTCTGCTCAGGCCATAATTTTAGCACAAATGTAAGATTCACAATAAAATTGTTGACAATAACCAGAAGGAAAAGCAATAAGACTATCAATGTAGGGGAAAAAAATCTCTAGGTGAACAATTAAAGACAAAAGGGTATTTGATAATGCTAATTTGGTTCCTTTTGCTATCTTATAGTGCCATGTTGACTTTTATTAAAATTATGTAAAACATCTGTTATCATCATTAACTGCCTAGAGTAAACTGTCAACCAGGGACAATTTTGCCCTCACCTCAGGGGACATTTGGCAATATCTGGAGACATTTGAGTTTGTTGCAACTGGGGGATGTGACTGAAACTGGCATCTAGTAGAAAGAGGCCAGGATGCTCTTAAATACCCTACAATGAGTAGAACAGCTACCCAAAATAAATTATCCAAACTAAAACATCAATGGTTTTGCATGAGAAAACCTGACCTACAAAAGTCTTAAAATAGCAGAATGTGAAAAATGCAGGACTTTATGTAGATAGGTAAGTTAAGAAAAGAAAAGGCCAACCTTTGCTATTCCATTTCAGTTGAGAGGTTTCTTTGAAGATTACATGGATAGGACATGACATTTCACTGCATCTTAACCACTATAAGTATTCACTCTTTCTGCTATATGAAAGAGTGAATCTAAATTAACTACCTGATATTTGAAATTTTATTTTGAAAGTTTAAAGAATGGCTGGCAATGCATTAAGATTTACAGTATGGGCTGACAGCCAGTGTAATGACATGAGTATACTGCATGCCCATGCAGTATTATTTTCAAGTTTCTGGATCTTTTTGTTCCTTGGTACTATTCTAAGTAACTGATAGTTTATGCCCACATAGGAAGAAAGTATGAAGAACATATAGTACTTTATAAAAGAGTGGAATATATAGAAGATCCAAACAATGTCTTAAATATATAACTGTAGTCTCCTACACAGATTTTTATAAGACTTAATACATTTGACAAAATGTATAAAAAATACATGAAAACAGTTAGTGCTGACTCCACTTCTTGAATTCTACTATGTCCATTACTTGGTCTTTACTTGCAAGAATGCATGAGTTCATACACATAGATAACAAAATTTAAATTTGTTGATGTAAACACCAGGACCTGAGATATCTAATGTTCCTTAGCTTGCAACGTACTATTACAAATTCTTAAAACAAATTGAAAAACCCCAACAACCCACACTAGATTCTAACTTAGTTGCTAAAAATTAGAATTAGTTTTATGGATTAACATTTTATTTGGACATATAATGATGTGTTCAATTGACGTTTCTTTAAAAAGGCATCTTCATTTTGTTAAAACAAATTCCTAAGATGTTTCCTTTCTGTCTTTTAAAATCCTTCCATGCTAATGAAAATTCTGTGCATCGTTAATATTAACAAAAAAAAGTATCCTATTTTTTTAAACTGCCATGTTTATTTCAAGGGAGAAAGAAATATTTTACATTAGTATTTGTAAATACTAAGTCAGCCTTACATTATAGACATCTGCATTTTCACCACTAGTTTTAAATATTCTACATATGGATAGAAGTAACTGATTTTGACAATTGACTAAAATTCTAGTTTTTGTCTTCTCTTTTCCAAGGGTTTGTATTTATAGGTAAAATACACAGATTCTCCCTCTTATTTTGGTCTTAAATACAAGTAGTTTGTAATATCCCCAAATGGAGAAACTCTATTAATAAAATTAAATAATATTCCTCATAAATGGAAAGGAGGGATAGAAAACTTAAATGTAATGGTGCATAGTAGGGTAGTTTAAAAGAATAGTGGAACTTTTCCTATAACCTGTGGATGGAGTGCAGATCCTCCTGAAGAAAATGAGGCAGATAAAACCTGCTGAGATGTGGTTCCTTGGGGGAAACAGAAGAAAAGTGGGGATTCTTGTAACAATGTCTGAGGCAGACGGATAAAGGGTAATGAGACGTCAGAGCCAAAAGGTGCAGCTGCTCCCCCTGTAGGGGGAGGTGATTGAAAATCACTGGGGTCTGAAGAAGTAATTTGTGAGGAATCACTGGAATACTCTGGGCTTCCTATTGGCCAGTTCTGTCCGATAGGCTCTACCACAGACACGGTCAATTCTGGGGAATGATAATTATGCTGTTCTTCAGTCACAGGCTGCAGGCGGCCATGTAATCCAACTGATGGAGGAGGTGGTTCTTCCTGATTCAGGTCCACTGCAACCTGTCGATTTCGGTAAACACGCTGAGGCAAAACTCCCCCTCCTTCTCCTGAAGAGGAGCTTGGAGTGTGAACATGAAATTCAAATACACAATTGCTTCTGCTCTCATTGTTATGAGTTAACACAGCAGGCGCAGAATGAGGAACAAAGACAGGGTGGAATTTCAAACGTGTAGCATCTGTACTGATAGGTGCAGAAATACTAGAGAGGGGAGATCCTGGACTCAATCCAGAATCTAATCTTAAATTCTGAAGGTGTCCTACCAAGAAAGCCTGTCCAGATGGAAATTCAAAGACAGAGCTTGAGGTAGGACCCCCTTGTACTGGCTTCTGTTCAGGTATCTGTTTCATAGGACTTGACAGTACTGGTGAGTTGTATGGAATACCCTCATACTGTTCTGCCACCTGGGCCTGGTACTGTACCCCAGCTACACACAATGCTTCCTGAGGAATAAAATAGTGAGCTTCTTCTGGAAGTACTAGTCCAGGTCTATAGTCACTGTAAACTTGAGGTGTTTCAAACATAGACTTGACCTGTATCTCACATGGCTCTCCAGTAATTCTACTGGTTGTAGTACCCAGCATAACTATGGCCTCTGGTGTCCAGTTAGTTGGGCTGCCACCAGGTGGAAGAAGATTTTGGCCAACAGTCCTCAGCAGGGGTTGGAAGTGGTGAGTTTGGGCTTCCAGGAAGGAGGTGCTCTTACGCCGCTGAGAAATGGCCACCTTCGGTGGACAGGTGGGAGGTGGTGAAAAAGAAACTGGACGTTCATGAATAGTTGGGAAAAGTATCTGTGATTCTGGGTATGTTGGGGTCCCCCCACACGGATGCACCATGGACTGAGGCTGTATCAACATGAATAAGACAAGTAATTCATACATTCATATGTGAAATTACATTTGACATGCACAACTGGGTAGCTCTGTGTAACCCTATGAAGTGGTTACACCAAATTTATAATTAATAAAGAAATAGCAATACTTGTAGAAATTATGTGCTTAGTAAAAATCCATTAAATACATCCAGGGTCCATCAAATTATACTCTGTGGGACTCTGATTCAGATAAACACTGCTTTTCCACAACTTTCCTTTCTCAAAGGCAATGGAAGAATTTAACTTTCTAAATGACTGTTCTATTTTATTCACAATTAAAATGCTTACTCTTAAGACTTAATATAAATTACATCAATGGAAAAAGACTTTAAGAAAGAATAAGTGTTAAGGGAAGACAATAAAGCCAACAATTTTAATAATATAAGAAATATGCTTCAATTTAAGATATTCTACAAAGTCTACCTATATTCTCTATTATTATCCTCTCCTGTTAGAGGCTTCAGTGTTATTTTATTATCAAATAATTTTATGTCTTCTAAGTGGAAATCAGAGAGTTTTGGTGGATAGTAAAAAATGTGCAATCTGACTAGTGACAGTAATGTCTTTCTCTGATCTATCCCAAGCTTGACGCAGTTAATTTTACTACACGAAATGTGACAGAGGCCATATTACTAAATGTCCATTTTTCTGGTACTCTTAAGAGTTGAATAAACTGGTGTTCAAAGCAGGCAAAAAGGATAATATAAATAACAGCTGACTTGATGTAACAGCATTTTTGGGGGTCGCAGAAGCAGTTCAAGATTTGACTCTAAATTTAGAATCCTACCTTGCCAAATGCAAACAGTGCACACTATAATAATTCACTTTCATGGACTCTTTTTTAAGAGATCAGTTTCATTTTTTCAATAGGGAAGACCCCTATTAAGTTAGCAAAATAGCTCAATCGGTACTTCTTCGTAACACCTAAAAGAGGGTTTCTATTAGTATCCTACAACCATAAAACATTATGTTGTTAATCACTCTCCTAGGTAAAACTCTGAAGATTTGGGGGTTGCTAGATCAGAATGTCAACTAAATTCTCTATCTGGAAAGGTAACAGCAAGGTCCCAGTGTTTAAAACTTTAAAAGATAAACCTTTTATAGACATGAATGGGGCCACAGAAAATTGTATGTACTACATATGTGTGTAATATATTCATTAGAGCCAAGATTCCACCTTCATCAATCTAAAAGAAAAAAAAACTTTCTTGAGGGAACATTATGTTGGCCTTTTAGTTTGCTGACATGTCATTTTAAACAGCTAACAAATTAAAAGCAACTTTCACTCTTCAAGTATTCTTCACTGACTATGGGAAAAATAGACTCTTCCAGCTTCATTAGCATCTCTTCAGAAGAAGGTGAGGAGAAAGCATGTTTGGGTAATGTCTGATAAAGAGAAAATTTGCCTTTGATTAAGCCAACATTGAATCTAAAATTAAATAATACACGTATTCTTTACTACGAGATGAAAATACAAAATTTTACACATGTCAGTGGGGAACAGGAGAATATTAAAAAAGCTAAATTTTATTACACACACAGCAATATGTGTCAAGGGTGTTATAAGTATTCTCTCTCATTACCTCCTTGCCTTTGTCCCCCCCTTAAAGCCTTCTAACAAAAAATTCCTACAGCAAGAACTGGTATCCTAAAGCATAACACATTACTGAGTTTAGTTCTGTTCTTTATTCAATTTTTATGAAATTACGAAAATTTTTTATGCCTGGATGTATTCATTGGTAATAAGTTTTCATTTGTCAGGAAGTTTATGGTTACATACAGTACTGACAAAGAGGGAAGGCAGGCTGGAGCGTCGGTGCTTGCGCTGAGAGGCAGAGTGCATAGGCAGGACACTCTCCAATGCTTTACAAAGCTTTTCGGCAAAAGTTTCCTCAGGGGCAGTCCGAAGGAGGGAAGGAGAAAGAGGTGCAGACAGCACTGGTGGTGGGGTGGAAGGAGCACTGGGAGAGATGCGGGACAGAGAGGGAACAGCAGAAAGATGGGGAACACAAACCGACATGCTACGGCCACGACGAGGCTAAACAGAAAACAAACACACACATGAAAAACACAGTACTTTGAAAACAAAATAACCAAATGTACAATGATAACAGGGCATAGTTGACATAAAGAAATGTTCTCCCCTCCCCGAATTCTGCAAATACAATTTTTGTGGGAGAGAATCAATTCCACAAAGCACACCTGGCAGATCACATTCATTCTCTCCACACTGTTGGTGAGGAATAGGATTTTTAAAATAATGAAGAACCATGATGATGATCAATTATCTTCCTAAATATTCTGAAATAACATGCATTGTTTTAAGTGTATGAATACGAATGAGTGACTGAGGTAGCAGGACAGGGTAAACAATGAATATTGACTTGCAGTTTCTGCGAACTTCTATAGAGATTAAACAAGAATGAATTCTATTAGTTTAATGTATATTGTAAGATGTAGAATATTTTAAAACTGGATTATTCTGCAGGAGCTCTGGAAGGCTCAGAAAAGGTTTCTCAATTCTATTTTAGAAGGCATCAGATTAAAAAAGTTGTTGGCTCACAAAATTTTATTTATTATACTTGCCTATCTTTATCTATAAAGGTAAAAAGTAACTTTCTACTAGGAAAAGCATTAGCTTCCTAGCAGTAATTCATATAGATATAGGAAACATTCTGCATTTATACTAAAGTAGTCAGTGGAAAAATAGCTTACATATGAGTCTCTAAAATATAACTTAAAATTTTTTTCAGGCATATCAGCGATTCAATTTAGGTATACAAATTTTAAGGCACCTTAACATAAAGGTTATAATATAGCTACAAAGCAGTACATCTAATACTGTAAGGTTGTCCTTGGCAAAATTTTTATTTCCTTTCAGATACTGTAAACTAAAACTAATTATATTTTATTTTCCAAAAATTGGCTGCACAGAATGCTTGGAGCCAAGTTCATGACCCATCCTATGATTATTTACTTACTGGTTCTATCTTCCTCCACCTTAGTTTCTCTTTTATTTTAATTTTTAAATTCCACTTATAATTGATATATTATTACAAGCCATAATAAAATCTTTTTGGAATAAGAACAGAATTATAAAATTTTTTGAAGTCCTCAATATTTAATAACTCTTCATGATTCCTACAAAGAATATTGTCATTAAAAGGCAAATCTGTCACTAACAGACTGCTTTGGAGCACCAAGAAATACAGCTATGTTTATGGCTCAAATATTTAAAATCTTCATAAATGATCACTCTATTTCCTTTTCTAAAATAGAGACCCAATGTTTATAACCCTGTAATGGTTGAAGCCAAAATATTAAAAATAGTTTTCAAGAAGTCTAGTGTGATAATCCAGAAAAAAAATTGTAACAAGAATAGAAACTAACAAAAAATTCTGACAAATAACATTTGTCAGATTACAGAAATATATCTATACAGTCTTTATAAAGTTCTTCTAACCTACCTAATTATTTTAAATGTCAGGAAAGTAGATTGTTAAAACATTAGTACATTAGGAGTTTTCTTTGTGCTACTGTGGCCATTCATCTGCAGACCTAGCCAATGTAGGATGATGAATGGACTCTGAACAAATAAATACCTTTTATCCCAAGCTGTAGGATAAAAGACCACAGCAAGCAAATGAATTTTCTTAACAGAGAAAGATTTTAATTTAATAAAGAGCAAGAGTTCCATAAAATTCAGATTAAAAGCTTTCTGAGAATGGGAAAACTGCCTCTCTAAAGATCTCACTAAAGAAGTGCTATACATTTGTTTACTCTCCAATTCTTTCCTGAGCCAGATGGTATATTTCATTTACCTTTGAAGATTTTAACAAAGGATCACCAAAAGAAATAGGGTGTTATCTGATGATCTGCTTTAACATTCTTTCTACTAGAAGCAAGAGTGGCTAAGGTAAAACATGGGGTAATAATGTATATATATGTGTGTGTATATGTATACATAAATGCATAACATATTTCAGGAAATAATCTCCAAAAGTTGATTCTGAAAATAAATCAGTAAGAAAACAGATACCAAATAAAGGGGAAAGCAAATGAACATATAACAGGGAAGGAACTTGTGTCCAACACAGACTTTAAGGAGGAACACACATAGCAGTCAATGATTAAACACAAGCGCTAAATTAAATGGTCATACAAATAAAGGATTCCTTCACTCTAGAGTACTTACATGCAGCATTCTATAATGGTCTGAAGGTCTTACCTGTGTTTTATACAGTAAGAAATCTCATAGAAAATACTTAGTAATTCTTTTAATAAGTAAGCTTTTGAAATTCCTCAGCCCCAACCCCAAAACAGTTGTATATCCAACTTATGTTGCTCTGAACAGTTTCAACTCTAAAGTGCTAAAGAAAGTATTATCTTTAATCAATAGTCTGAATCTTGTATGTAGCTGAACTTTCTAGGTGAAGAAACTATTTCCTACACATTTATTTTTACCTTATATCGATCTATCTATATCATATCTATATATCTATAGCTATCTATAGCTATCCCCTACCCTGCTGGAACTACTCTAATTATACTCTATAGTTAACCTATTTCCCTCAGAAGTACACCATTTATATTTTCTACTTCAGACTCATGCTGATACCTGGACATTAGGAAGAATTTGAATTCTAACACATTAACTATTGGCTCTCAGGCAGGCTTACACTCTCTTACGCTGTTACTTACCATACTTGAGGGTGGATAAACTCCATGGGGCTGAGATTGTGCTTGGATAACAGAAGCTGTGTGCCCTGGGAGTGTGCCAGTAGAATGTGCCTGTTCATGTTGGGAACCATAAGAAACTGTCTGTTGGCTGCTCACTCGAGATTCTGTGAAGACAGAAGATCCCTGACCACTGTCAACAGTCCCGTCAGCTAGAGAAATAAATTGCCAAAAAAGAGAGAGAGACAAATCATAAAAAGGAGGTTCACATTTTCCCCATCACAAACAGCATCAAATAGGTTTTTTCTTTGCACAGACCTGAACTAAATAAAAATTTAATGCTATATTTCTATGTTTAAATGAGGGATCCATATAGAAAATGTTTTAATGTCTTTCAAAAAAGTCTCTGGGTATCACAGACTCATTATCTGACAAATAAGGGAAATAAAATGGAATACTGTTAGTCAGCCTTAAGTTTGACAACTTTCAAAGTCTTGACTTTGAAAATCAGTGGGTTCTTAGTATTATGCAGGTAGTTTTCTATTAATTTCTAGCAGTCTCATTAGTTTCTAATTTATACATTATTCACATTTGCTAAAAGAGCTTAACCAGATTAATGGGTTTAATTATAAGTAGATAACTTATTTATTTTTCATTATTAAATATATTTCATTTTAAGGAATTGAGAAAAGTAGAAATCTACAAATTGGAATTTCCAAGATGAAGGAACCTATAAAATCATCTTATATCCTAATCACCTTTCTTCACTGTACCATCCTTTTTTTTATTAGTCATGGACATAAGAAAAAAAAAGGTAGATGGCAACTATTTCAAACTTATTATAGGCTGGATTCATAATTCAAAACCAAGAGGCCAGTATAAAAGCATTAAGAAGATAAAAAGTCAATTAGGAATATCCTTAGTATATTTCTTCACTTCCCAAAATACTTACATAACACAGATATGCTAGGTTGTTGGTACTGTAGTTGTTGATGTTGGTCTGCCTCAGGTTCTTCAGGTTCTACTTGTGTAGAAACTGAAGCCGAAGTGGCAGAGGCAGCAGGTATGCCAGTGCTGGCAGAAGGGAGCTGCTTCATTCCTGCCTGGGAAGCACTTGATTGTTGTTCTACTTGCTGTTTGAAACTGCTCTCTTCCTGCTTTCTTTTTTCTTGCTCTTCCCGCACCAACTGCCGCTGCTCTCGTTTTCTCTTAATTAATGACACTCTATCTTTGATGGCTTTCGCCATGGTCTTGTGATCACCTTCACAGACATACCCAGACTCTACCTACAGGATTAAAAACTGCATTTAGGAAGCAGTAGGGTATCTAAAGAAAACAAACCACATAAAGCAGAAAAGGCACTTTTGGGGAGTAGAGAAGAGGAGGAAGAAAGGATTCTCTCAGACAAAGTTTTAACCAAACTGAAATTATTGGTCTACATTATGCATTTTGCCACCATTTTAGTAGATACTCATAAAGTGGGTGCCAGGATCTTTGCAGAAACTCGAGGCATGGATGTACCTTCCCTTCTTACAACAAAACAATGGGGATCTTAAAAAAAACCAAAGTTTTTAAACCAAGTAAGACTCATTCTATTCTATTTACTCTATTTTCCACTCACATGTAACCATTAATATTAACTTGTGTTGCTTTTACTTCCTTTCACTAGGCAAGCATTTAATCATATAAAACAACCATGGGAAATATGTAAAGGTGAAAAAACAAAACAAAACAAAAAAACAACCGCCAAAACACCTCAAACAGTGTAAAAACTAAAAATAAGTATCTTTTTCATACCCAAGCAACTACTATTGAATGGTTCTTATATATTCTAGTATATATTCTATAAGTACCTGTGCATAGTAAATACCTATTTTAGGCATTATGACAAGACTAAAATTGGTCAAGTGTTTCCTTTTTGAAAAGTGACCTTTGAGACAGACTTAAAAAATGATTCACCAAAGGTTACCTACATAATTTATCTTGAAAACTCTGTTCAAAATAAAAACAATTCATGATCTAATTACAGGGTTCATACAGGTTACTTTTTTGCTCAACAATATCAATGTATATAAATCTACATTAATTTTTAAATGGCTAATTAGTGTTAATTTACCATTTCTTGAGCAACATCTTCTGGCACATCTCTGTCCAAGTCAAAGGAAAACTCAATAGCTTCATTGTCTTTGTATTTTCCCTTTAATTTCTTAATATCTTCAATACGTAGCCATAACTTAATGGCTATCTTTTCTCCATCATCTTCTTCTGCTAATTCTACCCGCACCCCTGTTTCCTCCTGGAAGAAGGCATGGTTCAAAAGGTCTTTGATAGAGTATCTTCCAAAGAGAAAAAGAAAACAAAACAACACACAAAGTACCATTAGATTGAAAGAAAATTTTCAAGTGTGGCTGATTATTATTATACTTGAAATAATAAAACAAGGACTGTTAAAAGGAAAACAAGGGAAATTTTATACCTTATTTCTATACTGCTCCATTTGAATAGTAATTATAGAGTTTTACTCTCAAGTTATAGAATGTTATAACAATCTCATAGGTAACAATCTCATTTATGAATTAAGAACTAAAATGTTACTTGTTTTAATCTAATGATCTGATCTCAGTTAATAGTGTACTAACAATAGCAAGTAATACAAAGAGTATTACAGCTTCAAAATACCACATAATCATTTATATAGCATTTATAGTTAACAAAAAATCCTCATATGTATGATCTCATCTGATCCTTGACCAACATCCAATGAGATACCCTAATTATTAGAAAATAGAAAATTAGAGAGGTTGAATATCTTGCTCATAGTTACAAAAATTGTAAATAATGGAATTAAAACTCAAAAATACAACTCCTGATTTCAGGTTCATTATCTTATACTATAGTAACCGTTATTTACCCCCCAAAATTCTCTCAATTCCTTGTTCAACAATTTATGTACCAGTCAAGGAGAATTCTGATTGTGGAACAATCTTCTTTAGATAAATGGTCTCAAAATACCAGTAATCTAGTAAACTGTTCCATCCACAAAAACAAAACAAAACAAAGAGAAAAAACAGAGTAGTATGTTTGAAGACTGGAAACAAATATTCCTTTGTTTATAGTAAAAAAAAGTTCTTAAGAGTCTTTTCCTTGAAAAGGACTCTGTTTTCTAATCAGTGTATATAAAAAGGGAAACTCAAACTAAATTTCTACTAAAAAAGCCTTAAAGATCATGATGTTAAGCTCTTCCAAATAATGAAGTTACTAAAAAGAATATGAGACTGGAGAAGTGTAGATATGGAATTCTTTAATTTGGTTGATATATCTGATTGCTCACATTCTTCTGGAGGTTGAGCATGCTCAATTTACAATTTCTATTTATTTGTACTGGCTGATCTTTTTTTTTGGAGGTTGGAGGAGGGACGGTGAAAGCGTATTATTTTTCAAAAACAGACACTGGACCTTTGCCATGCCTAACGGGTGATGAATCAGCTATATGGCAGATCAGATACTTGCCACTCCTCTAAGAAAAGTCCTCTGTTAGTACAAATGACTAAGCCAGATCTCCTCCTAAACTTTGGGCAAAGTCATCTCTTTTTACTCAAAGAAATTTTGGTGTTTTGCTCTTCTTCAATTCTGGCATAATAAAAGTAAATCAAGACCTGTATAGTTGAGTTGATTATAAAGAGCCAAGATTTTATTTCACCTTTGAATTCAATGGGTATTTGAATTCAGATATACTGTGTTACAGACTGAACCCTAATGAGATTTATAAATCATGCTGATGCGATACAGGAGTGGGCAAAAGGTGGTTTACAGGTGTCAGTACACAAAACTGTTTATATAGCAAGTAAACTACAAGAATGTATAAATAATGAAGGCCAGCAATTTGAACACTGTGACATTCTTTTGAGTTAATAAAACTATTTTAATAATCATAACCTGCAAATCTTTTTCCATAAGAATAACTGTAAACCTACTTTTGTCCATCTCTGTAATTATCATTGAATGTTGTAATTATATTTCAGGTGGTTCTGGTTTACTTAAATTCTCCTAAACCACAGTTCTACAACATTCCAGTATGTCAAATTCTAATACTACCTTCGATGGACAAGACTCTACTTTTTAAAGATATTACATGATATAAATGGAGAAACTAATCACAAGTAAAAAGTATTAAATATACCTCAGATTGAGCACTGTTATATTTTAGGATTTTGTTAAAGCAACAGGTCAAAAGAGACTACTTACCTTTCATCTTTGTTTTGTCGAATGCATCCTTCAATAATTTCTTTCACTTCAGGAATTGCTACTTTGTCAAAACTGGCTGGCTTAACCCCCTGAAAACCATAAAAACAGTGATAAAAATCCATTATAAAAGCAGCACCTTTGAACTCTGACTTTCAAATAACTCTTAAGTTTCCATTAGATTGCCTTCTCATCAACCTGGCTTTTTTCTGATTTCTCTGCAGGAGCTGGTTCATGCAGGCTGAGTTGAGTAGTAGCAGTTTAAAACTCCCGCAAGACAACAAAAAGGAACAGCAGTGGGCACTTACTTCCATGGCCTCTATATGTGGCTAGGGAAAATGTTAGCATAGCATATTGGGAAAATGTTAGGATGTTGTCAACATTTTCTGCTGTGTTTCAAGTAAAAAAAAAAAAAAGGTCAAATATTCTAATTGGTTAGAGTATCTTTAATTCAATTTGTTCACTAATACATTAATCACCACAGCATTTAACTGTTTTGAACAGTGAACTCATGTGTGGGCATGAATTCACATGCTCTGTTTGGCAGGTATTCTATTATTGCAACAGTTTTTAACAAACTGAACAAGTACAGAGGGAGTTAAGGATATGGATTGGTTTGGCATGACTGAAGAACAAACTGTCTTATACACATGAAACATAAAATGAAAAGTGATATATCAGACCATATGAAAGACAAATTGTCCAACTAATTTCAGAAGAAAACTCAATACCACTATTACATGTAATACTAAAGAGCATCACAGTATTTTAGCATCTTCATGAAGTGTAAATTCTTGCAAAGAAAAATTTCTTCAATGTGTTGAAAATATACCTAAAATATGAGAATTAACAAAATACCTCTATGTGAGAGGTGGTATAGATAAAACCATCTCATTATCTATGCCCGACTCATGAATTGAGCTGAAGTAGCGTCACTGATACACTATCCAAGTGGCACCCTACGTCTATAAACACACAAAACACAGGAAAATAGGGCAGAAGAACTAGAAAAGTCAGAATATATGTATATTCTAATCATCTATATAGTCTCAGTGACAAGATATATTAAACCAAAATTAGTGATGATCTGATAGACCACAGAAATGCATGTAATCCCTCCTAGATTAAAATGAAATACAGTTGACCCTCGAAAAATATGTGTGTCGGTAGGTGGAAGGGTGGAGAAGGGCACACATTGACCCCCCACCCCAGCAGTTGAAAATCCACTTGTAACTTTTGACTTCCTCAGAACTTAACTTCTAATAGCCTACTGTTGACTTTACCAAAAACATAGGTGATTAACACATATTTTGTATGTTATATATACTATATACTGCATTTTTACAATCAAACAAGCTGAGAAAATGTTAAGAAAATTATAAGGAAGAAAAATACATTTACAGTACTATATGCATTTAGTGGAAAAAAAAAAAAAAAGATTCAATACATGTATAAAGGGACCTGCACAGTTCAAACCTATGCCGTTCAAGGGTCAACTAGTGTACATCAAATGGTTAGCTCTAAAAAGTCTTTAGAAACTAGTGTTGTGGTAGAATAATTTTCATTATTTACTCACTGCATTATTCAAAAGTCCTAATTTGGAAGATTCTGCCTCTAGGGCTGAACTTCCACAAGAAGGAACTGTCTAATAGGGCTAACCCTAAAGTTAAATCAACGTATTTACATGGTTCACTTCTAAGTCATGACTACAAAGATCACAATTTGTATTTTCTTTATTTTTCAAATCCAGCAAATTAGGTTTTCTGAACTGGTCTTTGATTCACATAATGATTCTAATGAAAACAAGAAAATAATGTTGCTGAAGCAAAAGGCTGCTTTGAGAAAGGTAGTATGGTATTTCAAACTAAGGCTTAAGAAAATAGGGATTGTTTTAAGAAAAAAACTGATGATGCACACTAAAGTTCTTTGATAGTAGAAACACTGCAGATTTTGTTTTATATGTGTTTATAATTTTCTACAGTAAACATGTTAAAATGTATAAAAGCAAATCTTAAAAATGCTATCTATAAATATAATAGGGAAAATAACCTAAAATACTGTATATTTACAGTTTGTAGAACATTCACTATTGGCAGAAAATTATCTGAAAGACTGTTCTTTGGTAAAATTGGACAATAATACATAGTTAACATTTGCATGTAAAAACATCCTAATGTTATAGGAAAGCGGGTAAAGAGAATTTAGAATATGATTAGGAAAATGTTCCTTTTTCCATAAACACAATATAGGAAAATAGAATTTGGCCTTCTGGCACATTAAGTTAATAAAGTACACATATACAGATTATATTAAAAGACTTCTGTTTCAATTTAGCATAGCATATTGGAAAGATAAACCTGCTTTTACCCTTGGTCCTCTCATTAATACTACACTAATGTGCAAACATATACACATTCAGGAATTCCTGCTTACAAATAGAAATACTAGTTCGACAAATGAGATATAAAGTCATAAATAGCAAAATCAGCAACTGTGTATCATATAACACCTTGAATCTACTAAGTTAAGCTACTTCCTCAACCTATATCCAATGTTTAGGTATGGGAAATTCTATACCAATGCTATCCAACATACATTTAGAGGAATGTAGTTTGGCCTTCTGGCAATAAAACTCTACATATTCAGATGCCACTGCTGCCTTAAAAAATGTATTACAGGTGCCAAGGTAGTCCAATAAAATGGAGACACACCTTACCAGTCCAGCACCTGGCATTAAAAGATTAAGGCTGTTCACTATTAATCATGTAGATAATGAAAAAATTAAAAAGAAATTTCACCAGTCAGCTGCCACCAAGAAATCAGAATTATCAAAATATCTAGCATGCGTATTCTCAATCATTTGAGAAGCCAGACTATGTAAGGACTGCATATTTTAAAAGACCCAAAAATGTAAAAATGAGTATGAAACCTCACTGACCTCTAAAGTGGCCTACGGAAAAGTCACCTAGGACATATAAACAGAAAGCTGCTTAGAGTAAACAGTACAAGTTTTTATATCATACTCATAGGCTTCTTGCTCTAAGAGATGAGAAAACTCAATATATTTTTAATTTTTTATAATTTATTTTTAACTTAAAAAAAGTTGGTTGAGAATTTGGAGGGGTAGTAAAGCGTAAAGAGGACCAAATATATGGTAACAGAAGATAATCTGACTTTGGGTAGTGGGAACACAATGCAATGTACAGATCATGTATCACAGAAACGTACACTTGAAACTTGTATAATCTTATTAGCCTAACCAATGCCACCCCAATAAATCTAAGACTTAAAAAAAGTTGGTTGAGATTACTCTAAAACATGATTTTAAGCACCAGACAGAACAAAATAATGATGAGAAATGTTTTAACGATAAAAGATTTCATCTTTTTTCCTTTTGGTTCATATACATCAACAAGGGTGATCAACTTAGAACCTAAAAATCCTGTCACATCTTTTCTTTACTCCCTGATTTAGCCTCACACAGTCCTATTCTAGTCCTGTTCTGAGAGGTAAAAGCAAAGTTTTGCTCACCTGTTCTGAATGAGGTTTAAAACACAAAACAGAAGAGAGTAATAAGATAGATAAATTCTGCTAATATTTTACACATTAGAAAAATGAATAAAGACACACATCCTCTTATTCCATTCTTCCAAAGCTAGCAACCCACTGGCTCTAGAAATATTCTTGATTAGTTTTGTAATTCACAGGATTGATCCCTCTCTAAGCAGTAGTGCCACATTATGTTTTTTGACATAGGAAAGTAGCATGTTTCTCTGCATTAAACCAAAGTACTTCTTGATCAACTAATGTATATACATTTAAGATACTTTTGGGGCTACACAAAATTATTCATTCTCTCAAAACAAAAAACAAAGGCCACTTTAAGCAGAGCACAGAAAAATAATGTAAGATAAATGATTACAAAATACATTTTTACTTGAATTAAGAAAAACACATACATGTATTTTATAGATTCTGAGTTTTTCTTTGAATTCTTAATACTCATGGTTTGCCAACTAATCTGCTGGAAGAATAAAGATGAGTCATAATATAGAATTCTTCTTGTTCAATCTTCCAGCTCTTAAATATCGTTAGTACTTCCTTCTTAAAAGCTTAAGTTTCAAATGTGGTGGGTGAGGTAACATTTAACTTCTCCTAACCAGTCAGAATTGAGAAAAGCCTCCTTCCTCTTCACACAAAATGTAGTGTAAGCTAACTAAACTATAAAATTTTATTTTAAAAAGCATTCTGAAATCAATAATTTCAATACTTTAATCAAAACCTTTTATACATACCACCAAATGGTTACAATATACCTTTTATATATATTGAAAATTCTTACCCACCTCATTTACACAATCCTTTTGAGGGCAGCAGCAGCAATGAGAATTAATGATGAGAAACACTGAGCAAAAATCTTTCTTTGAAAAATCCATCACAAAAGGCAAAATAGACTTGTTACAGTTAGAGGAAAATGAGGGATGAAAAATGGATTAGTCGTAAGTTAACAGGGTAAATTAGCCGACAGCATAAGCAAAGCAGACATCAAAGTCAGACTGAAACATAATTTCTTGTCTCACACTGGCCATGCTTCCTAAACTCTCAGATATGAGTTTGCCCTTTTCAACCAAAAATCTACTTACTTATACTAGACTAGCCCTTCAGACAAAACTACATTCTACACAGCCAGAAAACTGTTCTACTATTCTTCCTGCTTTTCCTCCAACAGCAACAAATCCCTAGACAAACAAAATGAGATTTTTATTTGCTCAAAGCTCCACCCATTATGTCCACAAGTTCTGCCCCCTGGACATCCAAACCTACACTAGAAATCTATTTATCTAAATACTCCCTTCCCCCAATCATGTTGAAACTATGCTTTTAAAAGAAAATGGGGATCTAGTTCAATGATTAAAATGTAAACTCAGAATATGCAGCCAAAAGAACACTGGATAGGAAATCATACTCCCTCTCAGTTTAATCTCTCAAAAACCAAGTCTGTGCGAACTGGGCCACATCCCTTAAGCTCACTTGAAAAGTTCTTCTGTTTATTTAACTTAAAAAGTGGTAATATTGAGGTAAATGCCTCATT